CTCCCTTCTGGGGACCTCCTTGGACCCCATCCAGTGACATTTCAACCACTTATGTAATCCACCTCTCAACAGTCTACTATTCAGTTTGTGCTGGGAGCCATTAGCCAAGTAGGTATGACAATTTCCTTGCCAGCGTACCCCATGTTGCTGACATGTTGCAGTGACATTGAATGTTAAGTGACCTTGCTCAAGGACCAAGGCAGATTAGGGTGTTCCCGGTTTTAAGATAATCGTGTTTAGGGCGTTCCCAGTTTAGGTTCCAGGTTTAAGGTTTAAGATTATTCCTGCTGGGAATAGGGCGTATCCTGCTGCCTGAGTTCCCCTTGAGTTCTCACGGGATTCAGACAGTATATTTTGGAGATAGAAGCCCAGTGGAGGTGAATTTGGGCAGAGAACGTGGATTTGGGAAGAGAACGTGGATTTCCCCAGAACGTGATTGTAGAAGGCTGGTGTGAGTTCGGGAATAAAGAGTTGCTGTTTGAATCTACAAGCTGTGTGGTGGCTCGTGATTGTGTGCCCAGCCAGACTGCGGCACTTGTGCCCAGCCAGACATTGGCAAGTTTGTATTTGAGCTTCCTTCTTTCCATCTTTAATTTTTGAGACACTCTAAGTTGCTGAGGCTGGCCTTGAATTTGTGATTCTCCTGCCTTAGCCTTCCAAATTGCCGGGATTGCAGGAGTACACCACCATGCCTGATTCCTATTCATTTGAAGGAGGGTCTTCTTAGGCTCTTGTCTTTCCATGTAAATTTAGAATCAACTTGTTGGGTTCTTCCAAAAACCTTGACTCGATTTTTAAATTATGGTAAAATCTGCATAATATGGCCATGGCTGGTGGCTCAAACCTGTAATCCCAGAAGCGGAGGGAGCTAAGGGAGGCAGGAGGATTGCAAGTTCAAAGCCAGCCTTAGCAATTTAGAGAGGACCTAAGCAACTCAGCAAGACCCTGTCTCTAAGTAAAATATAAAAATGACTGAGGATGTGGCTCAGTGGTTAAGCTCCCCTGGGTTCAATTCCGGTACCAAAAAATGCAGAATATAATACTTATTCTTTTAACTTTTAAAAAAATTGTTATTGTGGTATAACATAACCTTTCCTTTTTCTTCTTCTTGTTTTTTTTTTTTTTTTGTGCTAGGGATTGAACCCAAGGTGCTCTACCCCTGAGAGACAGCTCCAGGCTTCTTTATTTAGATATTTATTTACTTATTTTTTTTTAATATTTTATTTTTTAGTTTTCGGCGGGCACAACATCTTTGTTTGTATGTGGTGCTGAGGATCGAACCCGGGCCGCACACATGCCAGGCGAGCGCGCTACCACTTGAGTCACATCCCCAGCCCATTTATTTACTTATTTACATATTTATTTGAGACAGGGTCTCACCAAGTTTCTGAGGCTTGAAGGGAATACTTCTAAAGCTTCAACAGTAAAAATACTGTATACTGGCTAGGCACCATGGTGCACACCTGTAATCCCAGTTACTCAGGAGGTTGATAGAGGAGAATCACAAGTTCAAGGCCAGATAGCATTTTAGTGAGAACCTGTCTCAAAATTTTAAAAAAAGGGCTGAGTGTAGTGGGTGGCCCAGGCCTGTAATCCCAGTAATTTGAGAGGCTGAACCAATAGGATCACAAGTTGGAGGCCAGCCTCAGCAACCTAGCAAGACCCTAAGCAATTTAGTGGGATCCTGTCTATAAATAGATAGATAGATAGAAAGATAGATAGATAGATAGATAGATAGAACTGGGGATGTGGCTCAGTGGTAAAGTACCCCAGGGCTCAATCCCCAGTACAAAACAACAACAACAACAACAACAAATTTTTAAAGGGATGGGCTATAACTCAGTGGTGGTGAGCCTGCTTAGCATGTGTGAGGCCCTGGGTCCAATCCCCAGTACCGCAAAAATAATATTTACTGGAGTTTTTTATGAATAGTTTCCATATGTTTAAGAAAGTTCTTCTTGGGCTGCAGTTACAGCTCAGTGGTAGAGCGCTTGCCTAGCATGTGTGAGGCATTGGGTTCAAGCCTCAGCACCACATAAAAATAAAGGTATTGTGGGCTAGGATTGTGGCTCAGCGGTAGAGCACTTGCCTGGCATGGGTGGGGCCCTGGTTTGATCCTTAGCACCACATAAAAATAAAGGCATTGTGTTGTGTCCATCTACACCTAAAAAAATAATAATAAATAGTAAAAAAAATAAAATAAAGGTATTGTGTCCATCTACAATTTTAAAAAAAGAAAGTTCTTGAGCTGGGTGCTGTGACTCATGCCTATTATTCCAGCAACCCTGTAAAAGGAAAGAAAGAAAGTGGGCAAAAGGTATGAAAGAAGATACACAGAAGGGAGATAACCATATGAAAAGATGCTCAGTGGGAAAGCACTTGCCCAACATGTGAGGTCCTGGATTTAAAAAAAAAAAAAAAAAAAAAAAAACCCGGAAGGAAAAAAGACATTCAACATCCTATGTCATCAAGAAATTGAAGATTAAGGGACTAGAGTTGTAGCTTAGTGGCAAAGTGCTTGCCTAGTACATGTGAGGCACTGGGTTCTATTCTCAGTACCACATATAAATAAATAAAGTATTGTGTCTGTATACAACTAATATATATAATATATATGCATATATATGTATAAGTATATAGAAAGAAACTGAAGATGAAAATATCAGTAAAAAGCAAAGAAATAATGATTTTTTAAAAAATAAATGAGTTATCACTACACACCTACCTATCTGACAAATCCTGGTGAGGATGAGGAACAACAAGAACTCCCGATTCACTGCTGGCAGGAATGCAAAAATGGTAGCCACTTTGGAAGATGGTATGGTGCTTTCTTTCTTTTTTTTAAATTACAATTTATTTATTTATTTTTAATTTATTCTGATTTATTATACATGATGGCAGAATGCATTTCATTTCATATTATACACATAGAGCACAATTTTTCATCTCCTTTCTCTTCTCATTGTACACAGAATATTTTCACACCATTTGTGTCTTATACATGTACTTAGGATACTGATGTCTAACTCATTCCACCATCATTCCTACCCCTTTGCCCCCTCCCTTCCCATCCTTCCACTTAGTATGGTGCTTTCTTTTTTTTTAGTTGTCAATGGACCTTTATTTTATTTATTTATATGTGGTGCTGAGGATTAAACCCAGTGCCTTACACATGCTAGGCAAGCGCTCTACCACTGAGCTACAGCCCCAGCTCCCAGTATGGTGCTTTCTCACAAACCAAAACACATTCTTACCATATAATCTACACTCCTTGGTATTTACCCAAATAAATTAAAAATTTACATGCTCACAGATGTTTATAGCAGCTTTATTCATAATTGCCCGAACTTGGTTAGATTAACTATTACATTCGTTCGATTGGATATTAATTCAGTGATAAAAAGGAGCTATAATTGGGTGCAGTAGCACACATCTGTAATCCCAGCTGCTTGTGACTGAGGCAAGAAGATCAAAAGTTCTAGGCCAGCCTTAGCAACTTAGTGAGACCCTGAATCAAAATTTAAAAAAAAAAAAAAATTAAAAGGGCTGGGTGGGAATGGAGCTCAATGGTAAAGCACCCCAGGTTCAATCCCCAATATTTAAAAAAATCCACAGAGCTGGGCATGGTGGTGCATGCCTGTAATCCTAGCGGCTCTGGAGGCTGAGACAGGAGGATCACGAGTTCAAAGCCAGCCTCAGCAATGGTAAGGTGCTAAGCAACTCAGTGAGACCTGTCTCTAAATAAAATACAAAATAGGGCTGGGGATGAGGCTCAGTGGTTGAGTGACCTTGACTTCAATCCCTGGTACCAAAAAAAATTAAGGTTAAAAAAATCCACAGAATTTACTACACCAAGAAGGATACCTGATGTGAACTATGGGTATACAGTTGCAGGTCTGGTTGTCTGAATGTTTTGTTGCTGGCTTATTTTTGTGGTTCCATCTCCTTTCTTTTCTTATTGTTATTATAGTATCAATATTGTGTCTAATCTTGCAAAAGGTTTCAACCTGTCCTTGTTTCTGCTGACCAAAATAGTGATTAATTTCTTTATGTTTGGTAACCTTTTGTGATTTGTTTTTGGGCTGGGAATACAGGTCAGTGGTAGAGCATGTGCTTAGCTTTTGTGAGGCCCTAAATTCCATCCTCAGAAGCAAACAAAAACAAAGAACCCTTCAAACCAGGTAAATTGGGACAACACTTAGGAAAGCCTCAAGTATGAAGAATCAATTCAGTTCTACCCAGAGTCCTTCTGTTTCAACCTCCTGAGTCACTAGGATTATAAATATGCACCACAGCTTTGAGGGCTTTTTTTTTTTTTTTCTTTGGTATTGGGACTTTAATCCGGGGGCATTTTACCACACTAAGCCACACCCCAGCCCTTTTTAAATTTTGAGATGGGGTCTTGCTAAATTGCTGAGGCTGGTCATGAATTTGCAATCCTCCTGCCTTGGCCTCCCAAGCCACTGGGATTACAGGAGTGCATCACCTCGCCCAGCTAACTTTTTTTTTTGGTACCAGGGATGCCTACCCACTGAGCCATATACCCCAGACCTTTTTTTTTTTTTTTTTGAGACAGGGCCTCATTAAGTTGCTGAGCATGGCTTTGAACATGCAATCCTCTTGCCTCAACCTCCCAAGATGCTGGGATTACAGGAGTGTGCCACTGCACCCAGCTAGTTTTGTGGGTTTTTTTCTTTGTGTGTGTGTATGTGGGTACAGTGCTGGGGATGAACCCAGGGCTTTGTGCGTGCAAAAACTCTACCAACTGAACTATAACCCAGCCCTAGTTTTGTGTTTTGAAGTGAATTCATTACCTTTGCAATGCCTCCTTTGCAAAATTAATCTCTACTTTTGCAAGGTTGTTATGGGGATTACAGACAATAACTGAAGCCTTAAGTGACTGGTGGTGATCTCCATATGTCCAGGAATCTAAGGGTCCTGCCTTCTAGTCTAACAGGTCACCTCCCTTCCCATACCTATAGAGAGGCCAGAGGCACAAAGGCACAACACAGATGCTTTATTATTTTAAAAAAATGAAAACCCAGACCCGAGGACATGAGGGGTACCAAAGCAGAAGGATGGAGAAGTTGGTGGGCCCTGCAACAGGGGTGAGTAGCCACATCTCAGGCCCTTGTTGCAGGCTCTGTTCTGCTAGGCTTGACTTCTGGCCAAGGACTGTTCTTCCTGTGTGCAGGCCACCTGAGGCCAGGCCCTGGCCCAGTACAGGCCCTACAGTATGGGGAGCTCAGCTGAAGGAAGACATGGCTAACAATCATCCCTGAGGAGGTAGTGGATAGCTCCTAGATTGGCAAGGGTGGGTGGGAGTCAGGCTGAGGGGTCTTATGGACCTCCTACCATAGCTCCAGGCAGGCCACCTGCTCCCCTACCCACCTAGTTGCTCACTGGCCTGCTTTGTTCCCTCCCAATGCCAGTCCCTGGGACAAAACATCAGAAGGCAGGAAGGAAACCCCTGCCTAAGTTTCTTCCTCCCTTCTTGGGCCAAGTGGGAGGAACTGCTGAAGCCTCCCTTTTTCTGTACTAGTGATTGAACCCAGGGGTGCTTTACCACTGAGCTACATTCCCAGCTCCTTTTATTTTTCATTTTGATACAAGGTCTCACTCAGTTGCTGAGGCTGGCCTGGAACTTGTGATCTTCCTGCTTCCGCTCCCCAAGTTGCTGGGATTATAAACTGTACCACCATGCCTGGCACTGAGACCCGCTCTTTAACTGATGAACCATGGAGGAGCTAGATGCTCACGAAGTAGAAGAGGGCACCCAGTAGAAATCATGAGACAGTCTGTCTAAAAACTGTATCCAAACTAAAAGCATCACTCCATCCCCCAGTCCCAGTTTTGTGAGAAGCAGGAATCCAAAGGCAGCACTGAGAGCCAGCCAAGCTGGGACTGAGGTCCCAATACTGCCTCCTCTCCAAGCCTCAGGGGACCCATCCATTCCCTGGGGCCAGGCAGGATGGTGTCTATCTCCCAGGCTGGAGGTGGTTGTGGAGCTGCTCTGCCTGGGTCTTCAGGCGCTGGAATTCCTCCTGAATGAAGTCCGTGAGGGCTTTGCGCATCTCCATCTGAAGGCAAGGACAGGGCTGGCTTGCACCCCTGGGGGACCTTGGCCAAGGTGCCCTGGGAGGCTGAGAGGGCTGGGAGGGCCGAGGACAGCTATGGGGAGCCTGGGAGGAAACTCACAGCTGACTTGTTCTCCGCCCGGAGCCGTTCTAGCATGGGCAGTACGCTGAAGGGCTTCCCAATCAGCACGGTGATTTTCTGTGGGGAGGTGACCACCGAGGGTGACAAGGAGCAGGGAAATGCCCACAGCCCCAGCCCAAGCAACCTGGGAAGCCAGAGTCAAGTCCTGCCCCTGATGTGCTGTGTGCTCCCTCAGGCCACTTCCTTTCTTACAATGAGCAATTGGGTTCAGCAGCATCCAATAGTCAGCCCAGTCCCAGGATGTGGTCTATAGATAACCTCTAGTCCCAATCCCAGGGTCTATCCCTGCCCCAGCTGATTTCCTGTTTTCATCCTAAAGGCTCTGTCTGGTGCTAGTAACTCACTATCTATGTTCCACCCAGTCCCCCTGCTGCTGGGCCCTCAAGTTCAACTCCTCCCATATCTGTCCTCTAATGTAGAGTGGGAGACACAGGGCAGATGGAAGGCAGGCAGACAGACAGATGTGGGTCAGCAGGGCCTACCCACCTGGCCAAAGCGGGGGAAGTAGGGTGGGCTGTTAGGAAGGACGTCATTCATTCCTGCAGCACAGTGGACGGAAGGCTAGATGTCAGAGGAAGCAGAGCAGCCTAGGACCAAAGGGACACTGGTGCCCTCCATGCTAGGCGTCCTCTGCCACCCCCAAACACCATCTATGGAAAACCCTCTTCCTCCCCTTAGCCCTAGACTCACCAACATGCCACAGTGGCAGGATAATGGGGTTCAGATGACACTCAGCAATTAGGCGCCCAATTCCTACCAGGGGAAGAAGCAGAAATGTTGGCACAAGCTGGGATAAACTTCCCTGCCAGCCTCTGGCCAGTGCCACCCCTGCTGTCTGCAATTAAAAACAAATAATGGGCTAGCCCTTGTCTCACTGCCTTTCCCCTTCCTGCTTCTCCTAATACATCCAGCCAGAGTTGAGGAGTCAGGGGCTGACAGGGCTATCCTGGGGTAGGGAGGTCATTGTGGCCAGGGGCCAGTTGTACTTACCCCACTTGAAGCGCAGGAACTCAGAACTCATGTTCACTTTCCCTGGTGAGAGAGCACAGAAGCAAGGCTTGGGAGCTGGTTCCATACATGCTTGGGAACCTTGACCCAGCCAGCCCTGCTGACCTTCTGGGAAGATGTGTACCCAGTCCCCATGGTTGAGCTTCTCCAAAATGAAGTCCATCCCCTTCTGGTAGACACCGTCTCCTGCAGAGAAAGGCCTGTCCCCATCAGTCCCCATTGTCAGTGGGCAGAAAGCTTGCCTTCAATGCTCTTCAAATATCCTCATGCACTGGGGACTCCCTCTTGCAGTTCCCACTCACTGGGACAGAGGCAGCAGCTCAGGGACTTAGCTCCTACTGCATCATCCAGAGACACCCTCCAATGGCTGTTTTCAGGGCATGATCTGCTCTGGTCACACTGACCCATGACTTTCTTCATAGAATAATATCCTCTCAACCTCTATGTGCCTGTTATGTACAACGTAGCATCTTCTAGAACCATCTCCTACTGAAATTATGACCTTGGCAATTCCTCTGCCTGCCTATGACCATCATCAGCTACCCTGCTGAGCCATTTCAGACACACGCACCCTTGCTGCATCCTCTCTGACTCCAAGTCATCATCTATTCCACCTCAGCCAGGCCTCTGACTACCAGTCAGCAGTTCCTAGAGCCTCTGTGTCTCCTTGGCTCTACCATCCTGACCAAAGGGGGCTGCTAGAACAAACCAAATCCATTCCTGACACCAAGCCTAATGTGGGCCCCAGATTCTAAGGAGCAACTACTTTGGGGAATCTTGGCCAATTCCCACAACCATTCCTCACAGAGCACTCACCTGAGGCTCCAGCCTCTGTCCTCCCTCCCTCCACTGGCCTCTTCCTTTCAGGCTCTATACCCTCTCAAAGAGGCATCTTGGGTAAGGGAAACATTCCATCATCTTGATTGTGTATCATCAAGAACTTGGGAAAAAAATCAAGCTTGCTAGATTAAAATGGTGGAGTCAAACTGCTACCAATGCTAGCAACTTTGCATCTTGGAGATATCTTAAGACCATAACCTGGATCCAAGACAATACAAACCTGGACCTGGGTGGCCCAGCAGGCAGCCACAGCTCAGATATAAAGACTACAGCTCTGTGCTGGCTCACAACCTGGACACAATAAGAAATCTCATCAACTTTGATGATAGAAAAATAACCATTAGGTAGATAGAACCATGAAAGAGGAAGACAGGGAGGTTCAAGGTAAATTTCTTCATCTTGTGAACTGGGGAATAAAGAAGCCTTATCACAAAACACAGACAGACACTGGGACTGTCTCTGGCTAGTGCACTAAGAAATGGATTTTTAACCTATTCTTTGCAAGATTCTTTGGAAAGTGCTAGGTAGGGATCCAGATGTTTCAATCTAACCTAAATAGGGACCTGACCCAGCATCTCACTTAGAGGCTAGGGCTGGGGAACAATTACCCACTGGAGTTTACTCAGGGCACAGAACAGTGGTTTCCCTACTTGGGCTCTCAGTACACAGTAGGGGAATGGTCATCACAGGTGTTGGCTCCTTGTCTACCCAAACCCACTGGTGCAACCTATCCATTGAGCTTGGAAATGGAATGTAAAAATAGTAACACTATGCCTCTGGAGCAGCATTTCACATTTTTTAGTTTTTACAAGTGCTATTTTTCTTCTCTTGTGTAGCTTCCATAAAATCACTTTAGAACTTACATAGTATATTACTGTCGTAGGCTTAGTGGAAAAGGGATTTTTTTGCAACACAGAAGCAAAGTGTGCCAAATATTTCTTTTGCTTCAGTCATATGTAATTAGAACTCTGCTATATATCAAATATATCTGATAAATAATTTGTTCCTGCCCATTTTCTCTCAATGAAGGTGCTTGGGATTGATTTCACTTTCTGGTTTGTTGTTGGTTTTTTGGATATTTTTGTTTTTTCAGTGCTGGAGACGGAATCCAGGGCTTCATCAATATTTCACATGCACTCTACCACTGATCTATACCCCCGGCCCTCATCTTCTGTTTTTAACTGTACAAGAAAACCTAGATACCAATGAAAAGGAATAAAAACAAGACTGGAGGTGTAGCTCAGCATGCAAGAGGCCCTGGGATCCATCCTGAGCACCATGGGGAAAAAAAACATAAAAACAGAAGTGCATATGTCAAGAGCTTTGTAATGTTTTGAACAACCAATAAAAAAATAAATAAAAAATAAATATAAATAAATAAATAAATAAAACAGAAGTGCTCACTAAATGCCTCTGTCTCAGCTTGCAGATGAGAGGAGCTGAGACTCAGAGACAGGAGGTAAAGAAGTAGAGTCCCCATCTCTCAGAGCAGGATACAATAAGCAGTGCCAGGGTCTTGAAGAGATGGAAATAGCTTCCAAAAGCAGCACAAAGTGAAAGCACTCCAGGCAGTGCCTCTGGGGAGAGGGACTGGGTATGTGGAGTGAGGCACTGCAGCTTTCCACTACAAGCCCTTCCTTATTACTTGGAATCACTTGACTGGGTTTTGCCATGTTTTTACTTTGACCTATGGGAAGTAATAAACTCTCTCCTGACCTCCTATATGCTTTGATTATTTCCTCCTCCCTCTTCTTCCTCACAACCAATACTCTGAGTGGCCACTGCTATTATCTCTTCTATTCAAACTGTAGTGCCACCAGCCCTCTCAGGCCACAGCAAGCCAGCTCCTGTGGCTATCACTTCATGGAGATGGCTTATCAGGGGTCACCAGTGATTTCCATGGTACCAAAGACCATTGCTCAGGCCAAACACCTAGTGTCATCTTTGAGTTCTTTTCCTTGCCTCATCCCACATCTGATCTATTAAAAGTCCTGTCAACTCTGCCTCCTGAGCATAATCCAAAGCAATTCACAGCTCTGACTATTCATGGTGACTTTCAGAGGCTCAGTCACAATTGTTCTGCTGCCAGAACTACTGCGTGACAGTGCCTAACCAGGTTCCCTGCCTCCACTTGGCCTTGCTCCTATCCGGCAGCCATGCTGTAGCCTGCATGCGCTCTCTGAACCACAGACATAAGTATGTTGCCACTCTGATGAGCAAACAGAGTCCAAAATTCTTTACTGATTTTTTTTATGTGGTGTTGGGGATTGAACCCAGGGCTTTGTGCATGTGAGGCAAGCATTCTACCAACTGAGCTATATCCCCAGCCTACTGATTTATTTTTGATACTGGGGACTGAATTTAGGACTTCACACATGATATGCAAGCACTGTACTACCAAACTGTATCTCTAGTCCTTTTTATTTTTTTAAATTTTGATACATGTTCATACTAAGTTGCCCATGATGGCCTCAAACTTGCCATCTTCCTAATTCAGCTTCCTGAGTAGCTGGGATTTTAGATGTGTGTCACTGTGCCCAGCAGTTCAAAAATTAACAGGATTATTCTAGAATCTTCATATTCTGTGCACAACCAACATTTTCTATTTTTCTCTCTTACCTCTCCAGCATCTGGCACGTGTTTACATGTGTTTAGAATACCTTTCCCTTGCTGAGCATAGTGGTGCATACATCTAATCCCAGCAGCTCGGGAGGCTGAGGCAGGAGGATTGCGAGTTCAAAGCCAGCCTCAGCAACAGCAAGGCCCTAAGCAACTCAGTGAGACCCTGTCTCTAAATAATATACAAAAAAGGGCTGGGGATGTAGCTCAGTGGTTAAGTGCCCCTGGATTCAATTCCTAGTAGAAAAAAGAAAAAAAAAAACAATAAAGAAGAATACCTTTCTCTTTATTCTGTGCTTTGAAAAATTCTGCTTTCCCAGGGGAAACAGAAACCTGGATTTGAATCTTGGCTTTACCACTGCTCACCCAGTGACCTTGGGCCAACAGTTTAATCCCTCTGAGTGAGCCCTGTTTGGAGAATGGGGATCAAAATGACCCTACCTCCATGGGTTCCCAAGAGGTACCAAGTGCTCAATCAATCTCACCCTCTGAATATCACAAACTTGTTTCTTCTCCCAGAAGCACAAACCCTCTGGGCTTTCAGAACATGCCACTACCATCATGAACTATTGACACCACACTGCCAGCAGTGAATCTTTTATCAACCTCCCTGTGGATAATACCTCCTTGAATTCTCATGCCAGAGCTCCAGGTACATATAATCCTTTAGCAGCTGTGAAGAATTGAGGGCTCTCCAAGAAGCCATCTATCCTCTAGCAGCCTTTGCTACCTCTGCTACCACTCAATGGCTTCCCTGACTTTTTTGTTTGTTTGTTTGTTTTAGGTGGACACAATATCTTTATTTTATTTTTATGTGGTGCTGAGAATCAAACCCAGTGCCTCAAGCATGCTAGGTGAGCGCACTACCACTTAAGCCACATCCCCAGCCCCTTCCCTGACTTTTCAGTTGCCTGTTTCACAGGGATCCTTCCAAGACAAAGGCACTAGCCACCTGCCTCCCTGTCCCAAGAAAGACTTGGATAGCCCCAGAAGGAGAAGCTCACCTCGGCACACAGGCACACATTTGCCCAAGCTGAAGAAGTGGGAGTGTAGCTCCTTGGTGAAGCAGATATCTGCAGCCGCAGGAGTCCTGGAGCAAAGATGGACTGAGTCATCTCTGCTTCCCAAGCTCCTTAATCCCTGTCCCATGCCCAGCACAATGCCTGCCATCATTGGCATGCAGAATGGAGGCCCAGGAGAAGGGCCTGCAGGGCTCCACCCCATGCCCTGCCTGGACTGCTGGATGCCACCTCCTGGGCAGAGTAGGAGGAGGGAAAGAGACAGGTGGGGCTTGCAGGCCCACTGCGAGGGGCCCATTCTTCCTCACCAACGCATCAACTTCAGATTCCAGATGTGGCGGAGTTTCAGGATCCCTAGAGAAGGAGAGAAAAGATTTTGCACCCCAATTCACCTCGTTCCCAGGGAGTGTCCTTTTCTGTCACTCCTTTGCAGGGAATGACAGACAAGGGCAGCAGCACTAGTATTTCTCTACAGGCCAAAGTGTCATCTTCCAGAGTTTGGGCTGAACCCTCAAGTTCTCCTTGGCTCCTCCTGCTCCCCAACCTCCATATCTTACTCATCACTGAGTCTGATCTGCTTACTGAAACATTTTGACAACATCCATCCTTCTAAACATCTCCCTTTACTGTCACTGTGACTACTCTAGTCCAGCTACTGCACAGCTTCAAGGCTTCCTTGCTGCCTCCCTGGATCCATCTATGCCATCTTACAGGCCATTGTTACATGGCAGCCAGAGTGAACTTTGAAAGGCTCCAATATGACCAGGTGGCTCCCCATTACATCTTAGGTTAGTGTAACCCCTCCATTCAACAGTGGAGACCCTGGGCACCCCTCCACCCAAACATCTGGTGATTGGAGGCAAGTACCAGTCAACAGAGCATGAACTTCTAGGTGGAGCAACTGGACTCTCAAGTGGGGCTGGTTGAAAAGTACAAAACCCAGCCAGGGGCAAAGCTAGAACCAGGTTGCAGATCTTATATCCCCCAGCCCAGAGCTTCCTTGACAGGATACCCAATGGTGTCTACAATTTCTTCCCAAGACTCTGTGGGACCTTTAACAGTTTAGAGGACAGACGGTTCTATAAGTGTGACAACAGTAAAAAACCTGACAGACCTTGCCACGTGGTCACTTCCTCACCCCTTCTAAATTTTTTTTTCAACATTTATTTTTTTAGTTTTCGGCACACACAACATCTTTGTTTGTATGCGGTGCTGAGGATCGAACCCGGGCCGCATGCATGCCAGGTGAGCTCGCCACTGCTTGAGCCACATCCCCAGCCCCACCCCTTCTAAATTTAAGGCCCTCAAACCACATTCGCTGAAGGGGCCACAATCAAATTTCCACTGAGGCAGGGCATCTCAGTAATAAAGAGTGGCAGGGCTATGCAAAGAGCCCAGTGAGAAGTGAATTTGTTCTGTTTTTGTTTGACCAGGTCTAGCTTTTTCCCTGCCTTCCTGTGCCCAGCACACAGGCCTGGGTACCCCAGAGATGAGGATCATCCATGCAGGACTGGTGATTGGAGACGGTGATGAGGGGAGTGGCAGGGCCTCGGTTCTCGATGAGCTCGTACAGCACCTCCTTGTTGTGGACGGTGAGGTGATTCATGTACTCTAGAGGGAAAGGGGGGGTCTCGGTCTTAGCCTCCTCCCCACTGGCTTGAGGCTTACCTCTACCAGGCTAGGCCTGCCAGAGTCCCCAACCCCAAGCCCCAACTCTGGCCAGGCGTGGGAATACGTGACAGATCCTGCCTTGGCCTCGGGCCCACTCACTGGTCCAGAAGCAGCTGTAGGTGCCCACCAGGCCCATGACGACGCTGCTGGCTAGTGTCCAGGTAAGCGGCGGCACCGCGGGGAATGGCCATTTCACTTGCAGGGGCATCTCCTCGGGCCCCGCCCCTGGGCCTGGCGGCCCGACACTCCCCCTGCCACTGGGCAGAATATGGGGCCAATGCAGGTCGGTGTTCTCAAACCGCTGGACAGGCTCACGCACTGACGGGGGCAAGGCTTGGCGCGACAGGGGACTGAACGAAGGTCACCTCGCAGGTCAGGCCAGAACCTCGCCTGGCCCGGCTATCTCGCCGGGGCCAGAGGCCAGGGTCGCAGGAGAGAGACGCGCCCAGAAGGCTGGCGGCGGCAGCCAGCGGCCCCGTGCATCCGCCGGAAAGCGAGTCGGAGAGAGAGCCCAGCTACCGGCCGGCTGTCGCAAAACTCTCCCAGACCGCTTGACGGCAATGGGGGCGGATCCACGTCAGCCCAGCCCTGTCTTGCGGGGGTCCTGATTTGATACCTTTAGCTCCTGCATTTCCTTTCCGCTTAATTCAGGTCTCTGTAGAAGACTTGGGCTGCGTATCCACACTAACTGAAGCCACTCAAGGTTTCCGCTGGTGGAGCCATTTAACTTCATTGTTTTTCCTTTTTTTTTTTTTTTTTTTTGGAGGTAAAATTCACACAACGGTGGCACAAGCCTGTAATCTCAGCGAGACTGGAGGATTGCAAGTTGGAGAACCAATTTAGTGAGGACCTAAGCGACTTAGTGAGACTGTGTCTCAAAATTAAAAATAAAAAGGGCTGGGGATGTGACTTAGTGGTTAAGCGTCCCTGGGTTCGATCCCTAGTACCAAAGAAAAATAAAATTCACATAACAAAATTAGCCATTTGGTTGAATTTCAGATGATCTTATATTAACATATAATGCCTTATATATAAAACATATAATGCCTACATATTATATTGTACATTGCATTATGTGATTTTACACAATTAGAAACATACAGTTTTTTTGGTTTTTGTTTTTGTTTTACTACTGGGGATTGAACCCAGGGGTGCTCAACCACTGAACAACCTCCCCAGCCCTTTTTAAAATATTTTATTAGAGCCAGGCGCCGTGGCGCACGCCTGTAATCCTAGCAGCTCAGGAGGCTGAGACAGGAGGATCGCGAGTTTAAAGCCAGTCTCAGCAAAAGTGAGGCGCTAAACAACTCAGTGAGACCCTGTCCCTGAATAAAATACTATATCTGTATATAAAAAACAAAAAACCTATATTTTTGTATATATAAATAATTAGAGACAGGGTCTCTGTTGTTCAGAGCCTCTCTAAGTTGCGGAGGCTGGCTTTGAGCTCGTTATCCTCCTGCCTCATCCTCCCAAGTCGCTGATATTACAAGCGTGTGCCACCGCGCCCGGTTGCAAACAGTTTTATATAATCACAGTAGTATGCCATTGTACTATATATGTATACATGTATGTATAGAATATAATATGTGATACACATGTACTATATAATATATGGTAAAATATATGATAAAATATCATGTTTCTTATATGTATAGTGTGATATTTTATACCCTTTAGTACATTCACAACGCTGTACATCACTACCTCTAGCTTCAAAACTCATTTATCACACCAAAAGAAAACCCCATCCCTGTTAAAAGAGTGTTTTATTAATTAATTAATTTATTTATTTAAATTCAATTTATTTATTTTTCTGGTCCTTCTTGCCCATAGCCATGGTGGAAGGTCCTGCCTCCAGAGCCTCCAAACATTCCAGTGCTAGCCCAGGGTTGCCCAAATACCCACATATATCCCAGAATAGTAATCAAGAGAGGAGGCCGTGAGCAGCTGGAATTTTTGCCTTACAGAGGATTGAGTCCACGGTACTCTACCACTGAGCTACATCCCCAGCTCTTTTCATTTTGAGACATGATCTCCGCCAAATTGCTCAAGCTGACCTCGAACATACGATCTTCCTGAGTCTCTGGGATTACAGGCGCCCCCCCCCCCCCCCGCGCCCCGGCCCTTAACTGCTGCTGGAGCGGCTACTGCTGCTCACTTGTGGAAGCCACATTCTGGTGATTCACAGGCTCTCAAGTCCCACAGCCGGATAAGGGAGAGTGGGGCCTGTGAGGGATCGTGGGAGGGTAGTTGGCAGTTCCCAGGCCAGTGCCCGCCCTCCGAGCCGGCGGTGGGGCGGAGCTGGAGCGGGCTTGCTCATCTGTGCGGAGGAGTTGGGTGGCCCTGCTGGGTGGGTCAGGAAGAGTTTCCTCTTTTCTCCCCGCTCTGGTCCCTACCCAGGCAGGCGCTGCGATCTCGTGAGGTGTCGTGATCCGTTTAAGTCTGAGGCAGGCGTGGAGACAAGCAGGCGTGAGCAGGTAAGAGAGTCCTGCGGGAGGAGGGAAAGAGGATGAAAGTTGTTCCTTGCCTAGGGAGGGGTTGAGAAAGGAAGATAACCTTAGGGCTGGAACCAAGGCTGGTGTTGGAAGCCTGGGCTGGGCTTTTAGCTGAGGCCAGGAACACTCGCTCTTTCTCATCCTTCTGCCCATATCCACGGTGGGAGATCCTGGCTCCAGAGCCTCCAAACATGACAGTGCTAGCCCAGGGCTGTCCAGATGCCCACATATATCCAAAAATAGTAACCAAGGGAGGAGGCCATGAGTGACAGAGCAGGTGGTCAGAGAGAAACAGGCATCAAGGCCAGTCAGGAGGGAGATACTGTGGCACAGACACAGAGAGGAGCAGAACAGAGAAGAGAGAACAAGGAAGACAGACAGGTAGAACCTAAGAGAGGCAGAAAATGAACTAGAGGGGAGAGTGAGGGTGTGACTGAAAAAAGTAGACAGACAGAAGCAGGGATCACAATGACTGGTAAGGGGAGCAACATGGACGGAGTAGAGTGACAAACTGAGCCCAAAAGACAGGGCAAGGTTGAGATGAGCCTGAGACAAAGATAAATGGAGAGATGCTCAGAAAAAGAAGGACTTCAGGAGGCAAAATGAACAAGAAAGGCTTGCCAGTGGTGGCAGAGTTGCTGGAAGAGGCCCCATCATACATTGCACTAGAGATGATGTGGCCATGTCTCTGAAAATTTTAAATGCTTATCCTCTTGAACCCAGCAATTTCACTGCTGGGATTTTATCTTAAATATAACATCTCATGGGCTGGGATTATGGCTCAGTGGTAGAGCACTTGCCTAGCACTGTGAGGCACTAGGTTCCATTCTCAGCACCACATAAAATAAATGAATAAAACGGTCTATCAACAACAACACAACAACAACAACAACTATATATATATATATATATATATATATATATATATATATATATATATATATATATATGTAAAGGGGTTGAGGTGGTTGTGGCTCAGTGGTACAGTGTTCGCCTAGCATGTGTGGGGCCCTGGGTTCGTCCCTCAGCACCACATAATAAATAAAATAAAATAAAGGTATTGTGTCCAACTACAACTAAAATATTTTTTTTAAATGTTTTAAAAAAAGATAACATCTCACAATAGGTGCACTCCTGTAATCCCAGCTACTCAAAGATGATGGCAAGTTCCAGGCCAGCCTGGGCAATTTAGTGAGAATCTGCTTCAAAATAAGAAATAAAAGGGCTAGGGGTGTAGTTCAGTGATAGAGGGCCCTTGAGTTCAATCCCTAGTACCATACATACAACAAAAGGGCAGCATCTCTCAAGTGGGAAGAAAGAGATGCATAACAGCATTCTCAGTTGCTAATGGAGGAGAAAAGCTGGACATTCCTGAGTTGGGGAATAGCAGCATCTCCCCTGGTCAGGAAACCTGGAAGGTTTAAACTGCTGTGCAGCAGTTTAAAACAATGAAGTCAAATTCTTGTGAACTGCTAGTGGGAATGTAAAATGGTACAGCAGCTAACAGAATGTGGTTCCTCAAAAAAATTAAATATAGAACTACCATGTGATCTAGCAATTCCACTTCTGGGTACATACCAGGAAATCACTGAAAACGCAAAATGAAGCTATTTGTACAGCAGCATTATTCATATTGGCCAAACAGTGTCTTTTGATGGGTAATAGATAAGTAAAATGTACCTATACTAACAATGGAATATTATTCAGCCTTAAAAAGGAAATTTTGGCACATTGTATACAACATGAATGAACCATGAGGACATTATGCTCAATGAAATAATAATCACAAAAGAACAAATCCTGTTTTTCCACTTCAGTAGTCAAGTGCATTAGAGACAGATAGTAGAATGGTGGGTACCAGCAGTTATGGATAAAGGTGGAAGTTGTGCTTTTTGGGACTTTTGTTTTCATTTCTTCAGAAACAGGGTTTTACTATGTTTCCCAAGCTAGCCCAAAATTCCTAGGCTCAAACAGGAGTTAATGGGCATACAGTTTCAGATTGGGATGATGAAGAAAGTTCTGGTAACAGTGGTAACAGTTGCACAGCTGTGTGAATGTGCTCAATGCTACTGGACTGTATACTTAAAAGGTAAGATGGTAAATTTTATGCTACATGTATCTTATATGGTCAAGGCATATGTGAAGACATTGGCAGGTATCCCCAGGGAGAGATGCAGAAAACCTGCAGGGTGAGTGCCGCTTAAGCAAGTCCAACTGGGAGCACACTGAGCAGTTTAGATTCCTCTGGAGAAACGCCTTTGCTGCATGCAGTTATGCACAGTCTAGCTGCATTCCTGCTCATCCTCCTGGCTGGTGGTGCTGAGGCCTTTCGCATCTGTGCCTTCAACACCCAGCGGCTGACACTGGCCAAGGTGGTCACGGAGCAAGTGAAGGACACCTTAGTCCAGGTAAGTTCATTGCTGCAGGAATCAGTGCCCCATAAGGACCATGACCCCAAACCCCCAGCCCTGACTGACCAGAGACATGTTCCAGAGAAGAAGTGCCAGTCATGGTGGCCTATACCTATAATTCCAGCAACTGGGGAGACTGAGGCAGAAGGATCACAAGTTCAAGGACAGCCTCACCAACTTAGACCCTCAGCATCTAGGGAGATCTTGTCTTAAAATAAAAAATAAGGCTGGGTGGTTCAGGAAGCTGAGGTAGGAAGATCACAAGTTCAAAGCCAGCCTCAGCGATTTAGTGAGACCCTAAGCAACTTAGTGATATCCTGTCTCAAAATTTAAAAAATAAAATTAAAAAAAGGGCTGGAATGTGGCTCAGTGGTTAAGTACCCCTGGGTTCAATCCTGGGAAGGAAGGAAGCAAGCAAACAAGCAGGCAGGCTTGGGATGAAGCTCAGTGGTACAGTGCCCCTGGGTTTAATCCCCAGAATGAATGCATGAATGAATGAATGCCAGAGAATAGGGGACATCTAGAGATGTGAATGCCCAGACGCAGAGAATGTTCCTTACCTATCATTAGCCTCAGTCTCCTGCTCTGTAAAATAGATAAGGTATGAGTGTGGATGCCAGTATTTTCCCAGGTCCTTTCTAGTCCCATTGCTCTCTGTAGGCTGCAGCCAGTGAGCCATGACACTCTTGGCCATAGTTCCCCAGGTACACCCCCTTCTGGGGTGGCTGGTTTTGAGTAGGGCTGGTGTTCTTGGTATCTTGCAGATTGTGGCTCGCTGTGACATCATGGTGCTACAGGAGGTGGTGGATTCTTCTAATAAGACCATCTCCCTCCTGCTTCAAGAACTCAAGCGGTGAGGAGGGCTTGGTGGGTCTAATCCAGGGCTCACATAGAACCTCAGGGACCCTGACCCTAGGTTCCCCATTTCCCAGCAGATTTGATGGCTCCAGACACTATAGCTCCCTGGACAGCTCCAGGTTGGGGCGCAGCACATACAAGGAGAAGTATGTGTACATCTACCGGTAAGAACAAGGGTTGATAAACACAGGGCTGGCCTTTAACCCTGTTGTGAGATGGCTCTCTAAGGGCCACAAGACCCTCCCTTGCCTTCTCACTTCTTTTTCTTAATGGTTTTATTCTGGGATCTTTGCTTCTTCCACCCCAGCCAGCATGTCCATATAACAGGAGGACTCCCTCTCCATGCACAAATGGAGCTTCCCTCTTTTTCTCTCCTGTGGAAGCTCCTGGGGCTCAAGGCATGGCTGGTTGCTCCTCTCGGAGTGGCAAGCAGTGGTTGTGGCTTCTGGGAAGAGGATCAGTGGGTGCTGATGGTAGGTCTTGGGTGGATCTTGCTTTCTAGAAACAGCCCTGAATTCCTGAGAGGACAGGATTGGGGCAGGGAGTGGGGTGGGGCATGCTCTGGTGTTAGGATCAAGAGAGTAGGGAGGTCAAGCACTGTGGTACACGCCTGTAATTCCAGTGACTCAGGAAGCTGAAGTTGGAGGATTCTAAGTTTGAGGCCAGCCTCAGCAACTTATCAAGACCCTGTCTCAAAATAAAAAAAAATCAAAAGAGCTGGGGATGTGGCTTAGTGGTAAAGTGCCCCTTAAAACCCAGTACCAAAAAGAGTAGGCAAGGTGGACTGCCAGAGAAGGAAATCTGTTTTTCTATATAGGTGAAATTACATGGTATCTGGGATTTGCTCCAAAATAATTCTACAGCTTCTTAGTGTCTACCTACCTGAGAAATGAAAACATGTCCCCACATGAATGCTTATCACTCATAATAGCTCAAAGTGGCTGAGCAAGGTGGTGAATGCCTGTAATCTCAGCAACTCCCTGTCTGTAAATAAAATATTAAAAAGGGCTAGGGATGTGGCTCAGTGGTTAAGCACCCCTGTACCAGAGTTCAATCCCTGGTACCAAAAAAATGTTCATGAACTGGTGAATGGTAGACAAAATGTGGCATATCAATACAGTGGAATATTATTCAGCAATAAAAATAATGAATTATTGGCAGATGCTACAATGTGAATAAACCTTGAAATTATTGTTAGAGGAAAGAAGCCAGATGCAAAGGGTCACATATTACTTGATTCCACTTTCATGAAATGTGCAGAATAAGCAAATCTACAAGACAGAATAAGTTAATGGCTGCTAGGGATGGTGGGAGGGGGAATGAAGAGTAACAGTTACTGGGTACAGGATAAGTTTTTTTTTTGGAGGATATGAGAATGTTCTGAAATTGATTGTAGTGATAGTTGCATAACCTAATCAATGTACTAAGAACCATGGAATTGTACACTTAAAATAGATGAATTTTATGGCGTGTGAGTTATATCTTTTCTTTTAAAAAATATATTAAATTTCTTTTTAGTTGTAGTTGGACACAGTATCTTTATTTTTTTTTATGTGGTGCTGAGGATTGATCCCAGTGCCTCACACATGTGAGACGGGTGCTCTACCACTGAGCTACAGCGCCAGCCTGAGTTACATCGTTTTACAAAATATATCTTAATAAAAAGAAGTGTATCTGGGCATGGTAACAAATGTCTATAGTCTTGGCTGCTTGGGAGGCTGAGGTGGGAAGATCACTTGAGCCCAGGAGCTCAAGCCCAGCCTAGACAACACAGCAAGACCCCATCTCAAAAATAAATAAAACAGTTCTAATGGGCCAGGGTAGCTCAGTGTAGGGTGCATGCTTAGAAGCTGCAAGGCTCTGGATTTGAGCCTCAGCACCAAACAAAATGGAATGTTCTTGAAAAAAAGGCTGTGCCTACACAAACCAAGAATAGCCAGGAAAGTGGGGGTGTCTCTTCCTGAGAGCCATGCTGTTGGCACATGCAAACCAAAATCAGTAACTTATGGCAACTGCTTCCTCTTCTTTGGTTTTCCCAGGTCTGACAAGACACAGGTCCTGAATTCCTACCAGTATGAAGATGAGGATGACCTATTTGCCCGGGAGCCCTTTGTGGCCCAGTTCACTTTGCCTAGCAAAAGTAGGAAGGGAAGAATGGTGGGGAGAGTCTGGACAGTCCAACTGGGGGCTTGGTAATCCGGAGGAAACTAGGGGAGAAGGGCTGGGGGTGGATGGCAGCCCTGGCTTCCTGGGTTTTACAGTCCTTCCCAGCCTGGTGCTGGTCCCACTGCACACCACTCCTAAGGATGTAGAAAAGGAGCTGAATGCCCTATACAATGTGTTTCTGGATGTCTCACAGCGCTGGCAAAGCAAGGTAGGGCTGGGTAGCTCAAATGGGGAGGGAAGGGGATAGATGGCTCATCAGTGGGGCCCAGGCACTCCTCTCACCTTCAGGAGGTGATCCTACTTGGGGACTTCAATGCTGATTGCACTTCACTGCCCAAAAAACGCCTAAGCCAGCTTCTACTGCGAACTGAAGCAGGCTTCCACTGGGTGATTCCTGATGGGGAGGACACCACAGTGAGAGCGAGCACCCACTGCACCTACGACCGCATTGTGCTGCATGGGGAGGGCTGCCAGAGCCTGCTGCAGGCTGCAGCTGCCTTCAACTTCCCCAAGAGCTTCCATCTCACTGAGGAAGAGGTAGTGAGGTGGGGCTGGTGTAAGGAAAGAGGGCAGGAAGAGGGGTCCAGGGGTCAGAGTGAAACCCCTTAACTCCAGGTACTGACACTTCTTCTCACTGCCCCTCCCCAGGCCCTCAGCATCAGTGACCACTACCCTGTGGAGGTGGAGCTCAATCAGACTGCTCGCAGTATCCAGCCCCTCAGCCTGCCCACTCTGCTCCTGCTGTCACTGCTTTTGTCACTCCTGCCCTCTCAGCTGGACCTGGTGGCCCACGGGTGTGATGTCCATGTTGCCTTTAGGACTTAATTCTTGGTCTCACCCATCCAGTCTGTTCTGCCCTGGGGCTGAAGTGACCCTTTTGCTTAGTTTGGCTTTTTTCTTGGTATTAGAAGGGGCATCCAGGACCTGAGGCTGGACCCATGATGCTTCCCTTCAGGTAGTGTCAGGAGTGAAAACAAAAGCAGGTGTCATGGCTGGAGAGATGAGCTCAGGTGGCATCATCTTCTCTCTGCCAGACCTCACAGAGCTCAGAAAGGGGACTCACAACAGATCAAAAAATTCTACTGTATGACAAAAATGAAACTTACAAAGACTGAAAAGCCAGATTGGATGGGTATTACATGTGGGTAGCAGATGTCAACAGGAAACCATTAAGAACCCAGTAGATACACAAATGGAGATTTAAAAAAATCTATGGAGATAAGGTGTTACACCACCACCACCAAAAAATAGTAATAGGAAACAAATAAGCTCATTGCAACCCTGTGTGTGACTAACTCACAAAAGCCCCAGGGTCAGGCTGGGGTTGTGACTCAGAGGAAAGAGTGCTTGCCTAACATGCATGAGGCACAAGGTTTGATCCTCAGCACCACATAGAAAAATAAAAGGTATATGTTCACTTATAACTAAAAAAAAAAAAAGTTTAGGGGCTGGGGATGTGGCTCAAGCGGTAGCGCACTCGCCTGGCATGTGTGCGGCCCGGGTTCGATCCTCAGCACCACATACAAACAAAGATGCTATGTCCGCCGATAACTAAAAATAAATAAATATTAAAAATTTAAAAAAAAAAAAGTTTAAAAATAAACAGCCCCAATGTCTGTGGTCAGGCCTGTCTGTAACTCTGTGCAGTCCTACTTTCACCACCCACGGGTGCTCTCAGTCCACACTGGCACTTAGGTTTATACGTAGGGAGAGGCACTGGCTTACCAAGGCCACAGGTGCATACATTACCTGAACCACAACTATCATATTACTGGAAAGCTATCTGTATGAACACAGGCCCAGAAAAATGGGCTACAGAAAAGGATACACAGAACAGAGACCCTGTCCAGGATGTTAGTATCATGGAACTCATCCTTCCCCATCCATTGGGACAGTTACAGGGTAATATGTTTATGTAAACTACAATCATGGTTTACAGCAATCTCCCTGGGGTCAAAATTAAAGGGGAATTTACTGGAAAAGTTTTGCAAAATCATTCTAAGATTACAAAAGTAGGAAGGCCTCAAAGGGGTCACAGCCTGGAGCCTGGGAGCTGGAAGGTAAGACGCTTCCAAAATGGGACCTATGGATTTGAGGGGCCTCGTGGCCACTGGGCCCCAGTTCTGGAAACATTCCTATAGACCTGTTAAAATAATTCGGCTCTGACCCATCTGGAGTAGCTCACTTAAGGTATTCCTCAGAACACTACAAAGTTCTATGAGTCCAGGCCAAGGGATACCAGGTGTTATCTATCCAAAGGTCATTGTTTTGGCCAAGGCCTATGGGTGGATGGGAAACTACACATGATAGACTGGCTTGTATGGTGGGCAGGGGATATGGGAAAGCAGCCTAGGACAGTGAGCCAGGAGACCCTTTGATAGGAACTGCCATTAGGAATGGCATCACACTCCAAAGACTCCAAACACCTGGTCTAGTTAAATGAGATTAGGTAGGATAATATGCCCACTTTGAGATTGGGCCTGACTGGCTTCAAATGATCCTGCTTTGGAGGATCACAGTTCAAAGTCAGTCTTAGCAACTTAGCTAGGTACCAAACAACTCAGAGACCCTGTCTCGAAAAAAATATTTTTAAAAAGGGCTGGGGATGAGACTCAGTGGTTAAGCACCACTGGGTTCAATGTTTGGTACCAAAAATTAAAAAAAGATCCTGCCTAAGTACATACCACTATACCCACTTTGATCCCTTTCTGCCCATTCCCTATCACGGTGCTGGTGATACTTAGGAAATGATTCTGCTAGGCTTACAAAAAGGGACCCAGCTGCTACCCTTCCATTACCACCCACCCCAGTTTTAATGCTTTTCCCAAACAGGCAATTGATAAAGACCAGTAGAGTTCTATACTGCTAATATGGTTATTGTTTCATGGCCCTTAGATTTAAGAAACAAACACATAAATGGATACAATACAAATGGATACAATACAGGATTTATTGGTGTTGTGTGTGATTAAGAAGGGGACAGCACAGTGGAAGCCCTCATGAATGCAGGGCCCGCCACTTGTCCAGGGGACCACGATTGGGGATATATTTGACCCCACAGCCATCAGGAATAAGCCGCTTCTCAGCCACCATGTCTTCAAATTCATCAGCATTAAATTTGGTAAAGCCCCACTTCTTTGAGATGTGGATCTAGAGATGGATGGAAAGTGAGTCAGGAGGACTGGGGCAAGGAAAGGTAGGTAGGAGGAAGGGAGCTGCACCACTATTTTACCTTCTGGCGGCCAGGGAACTTGAACTTGGCTCTGCGTAGGGCCTCAATCACATGTTCCTTGTTCTGCAGCTTGGTGCGGATGGACATGATGACTTGGCCAATGTGAACCCTGGCCACTGTTCCCTGGGGTTTCCCAAAGGCACCCCGCATACCTGTTTGGAGCCTAGATAGGGGACATCATGAGATCAGAAATATGAACATCTACCCAAAGTGCTGTCTCCAAGGTCCCTTAGGGCAACCCATACAAACAACAGGCTGCATACACTACCAAGGAGATTGCTGTTTGCAGCCATTGCACACTGGGCCACCACAAGTAAAGGAACCCAGTCGGCTTAATTAGCTGCAGAAGATGACTCAAACAGAACCAGTGAGGGGGGAAAAGGACAGCATGACCAATGTGATTCTGCAACCTGTACACTCAGAAAAATGAGAAATTATACCCCATCTGATTCAAATGTATGATGTCAAGATCATTGTACTGTCATGTGTAATTAATTAAAACAAAAACAAAACAAAAAAAGAACCAGTGAGAGACACTTTATGAGGTGGTACCCCCAATTTGATTGCCAGCCTTTCTCCTGGTTTTTCTCCTCACCACAGGTGATTCAACATGTGAAATCACCTTTATTCCCTGACATTAAAAACCAAGCCCAGAAGAGGCCCAAGTTAAAGGAAAAGGTTCAAAGCCAACTCACCTGTCAGCCCCAGCACAGGACAACATCTTGTTGATACGGATAACATGGAAAGGGTGGAGCCGCACTCGGATATGAAAGCCATCTTTGCCACAACTTTTTACCATGTACTTGTTGGCACAAATACGAGCAGCCTCCAAGGCTATGAGAACAAAGGAAGGCAACAGAGTTAAAACAATATGGTGCAAAAGCACTTACTATGGCCAGTGCAGTACAATTCTGGGTCAGACAGAGAACACAGAAAGAACTAGGGGTGATAATCCTCACCTTCAGAGGATAATTGCTCATATTCATCAGATACCATGTGGCCACAGAGTGGGAACTCATCCACTTTTGCCTTTTTACGCCCAAGGTCAAATATGCGAATTTTGGCATCTGGGGGTGGAAAGAAAAACTTTGATAAGTGTTGGGGGAGGGTAGGTAGAGTGCTAGGGACTGCTGAATCAGCATGACCAAAGCAGTTTGAGTGTCTTAGTACTTACCAGGGACACCCCGGCAGAAACGAGACTTTGGGTACGGCTTGTTTTTACAGTACCGGTAACTGCAGAAGGCAGAAAAAAATTTGGTGTGGTGGGGTCAAAAGTGAACCCAACAAGTATTTAAATGCTCGCTCAATATCCCAAGTTTGAGGCTAGCATCAACAATATAGCAAGTTAGGGGCTGGGGATGTGGCTCAAGCGGTAGCGCGCTCGCCTGGCATACGTGCGGCCCAGGTTCGATCCTCAGCATCACATACAAACAATATAGCAAGTTAACCAAAGCCACAATGTCTTGATTACACCTAATTTTAAACTCCTTTTAAAGCCAATATTTTATAATTCCAGACTTCAAAAGAATCATCTTTGAGGGTCATGAATTTAGCTCAGTGGCAGATCGACTGCCTGGAATGTATGAGGCCTTGGGTTCGACTTTTAAGACCACAACAAAAATAATAATAATCTTTGCTCGACGGTACTACACACTACAAATTCACAACTTTAGAACGGTTGAGGTACCCAAGAGAAGACTTCCGGGAACGTGACATGAAATCCGCCTCCAAGCCACGTGAGAGGCACCCGGCGCCCCCTGCAAGGTAAATGAGGCGGCTAGGCCAGCTATTTCTCATCTGCGTTTGGTGTCCAATAAGACCTCATGGTCCAAAGCCCATAAATAAGACGAGACTGGGCACAAAGGACGCAAGAGGCAACTGAGACAATAAACTGTGGCGAGACTGCAGGAGAGGGTTGAAAGAGGGTGGATGTTGTTTCAAGCTCAACACTGGCACTGCATTGGCACTCCTGGATCAATCCGCCGCCCAACAAAACCGGGGCAGCGGCAGGGTAAGGATAAACTTTTCAAAAGGAATAAATGGTATAAATGGATAAAACCAGTAGGAAAAGCACTAGGGAAACATGGTGAAGGAAACCCGTACAGGAGGCTCCACCCAGCAGTTGTCTGAGGGGGCCAAAGGCAATTTTCCAACAGCGAAATTTCAGGGATTTGGAACTTACCACCGGGCGGGGCGGCGGCCCATGGCGACACCAGGATCGTCGGTGACTGTAAGAAAATAAGCAAAGTGAGAATAGAATGTAAGGACAGGCCTCAAACCTCAGCAGAGAAAAGGCAAGGACACCAAATGAACACACAGCCCAACATACTCACCGCGCCGAAGGAAAAGAGGCGCTCCCACGCCTGCGCATGCCTTATATAGGCGGCCGGTCTTCACGCTCAAAAACCACAGAGTCCCAAAGAGGGCGGGTGGACGCTCTATCAGACGTTGGGACCATAGATGCAGCGGCACTCTGCGCCTGCGTGCATGAATAGCTCAGCGCATGCGCAGACCTGATAGGTGACTGGGCACCGGAATCGCGGGCTGCCTGCTGACGAATGGGGTTTGGACACATAGGCGCGCGAGAAACCGGCTTCCGGCTGGCCATTTTGGGTGTCTACTCTTCACATAAGCTTTACTGTATCTACAATAAACATATATAACAAGAATTGAGGGCTGGGGATGTGGCTCAAGCGGTAGCGCGCTCGCCTGGCATGCGTGCGGCCAGGGTTCGATCCTCAGCACCACATACAAACAAAGATGTTGTGTCCACCAATAACTAAAAAAAAAATTGAAAGAAGTATTCCTGATTAAGACTGGCGGAGACCACACAGGTGTACTTTCCTTGCAGGTCTCACTCTAGGCTCCCTGGCCCATCAAGGAAACACAATGTTGGAACCTCAACCTACGTTCTTTTGACAACAGGGAGGGTGGAGCGGGAGACCCACCCCCTGAAACCACCTTCCCTAACCCCATAGTCTCCCACAGGTCTTGCTCTGAGCCGTGAATCACGTCCCAGGTTCCCTTATACTTGGAGGTCAATGCTTTCCTGCGGAAAAAAAAGCATGGGAGAAACGTCCACGGAGAACCATAGCCCTAAAGATCCTATAAGCACCGTTAGGCCCGCCCCGCCCACTCTAACCTGGCAGAGGATACTTTGGGCTCCCCAGGAAGATTTGGAGACATGAAAGGAGGGCGGAGGAACACCTTGGGCCATGCCCCACTCAGGGCCAATTTCTCTGGCTCTGCCTTCGGTGAGACTCAACCTCCTGGCTTGAACACATCTGTTATCCTGGATACATGACATTTTAGTAAGTGGCCACAGGAACCTACAGAAGGCTTGGAAAGATTTGTGGGGTTCACTTACAACAATGGTGCATGGTCCTTCCCATGGAACCTAGTCCCTTCCTTCATAGAGCTCTGGATTCCCTAATTCAGGAATGCAAACTAGATGAGAGACTGTGCCTCTACAAGAACACCGCAAATCAGGTGTTTGACTCCTGACTTGGAACATTTCTGGTTATATACATGAAACAATGCTGTAGTAGACTACCCTTCCTTTTTTCCCTAGAGAGATTGTGATCAATCAGCCATTCCCAAGCACTCTGTGGGCCAAGGCATTTTGTTGTCTTCTATGTCTTTCTTTACAATAGAGGTGGCCACTGTGTCTTGGACAGGTTAGAACTGCCACATTGTTTCTTCTAGGTAAAGATTCCATCATCTCAAAGAGAATCAGGGAGTCCATCTCAGTGCTTCCATGAGCACTCATATAAGGACTATAGAGGAGACCACCATGGATCTTTTGAAAAATACCGGCACTCTTCCACAAATGCCTTTCTCAATGCATGGAAGAAAACAGCACCTTCTCGACCTTGTAATGAAACTGTGAGGAGGCTGTGCATGTAGCTCAGTGGTAGAGTGCTCCTCTAGCTTGCATGATGCACTGGGTTTGATCCTGAGCACCACATAAAACCAAATAAATAAAATAAAGGTATTGTGACAATCTACAACTAAAAAGAAAAGAAACTTTGAGGGGTGGGGAGTTACATATCAGGTGTGATAAACATATTCAAATTTTTGTTATTCCAATGGTTTTGGATTTTCTGCTCAACCCACTCAACCTCATACTAGGTCACCAAAACCCAAGATCCATGATCCCCAGACTAGCAATGAGTCTACCTTTGGTTTGTTTTTCTTTACTTTCTTTCTTCTTTTTTTTTTTTTTTTTGTACTGGGGATTGAACCCAGAGGCACTTGACCACTGAGCCACATCCCCAGCCCTTTCTTGCATTTTATTTACAGATATGGTTTCACAGAGTTGTTTAGCATATCACTAAGCTGCTGAGACTGGCTTTGAACCAGCTATCTTTCTAGTTATTTATCTGATGGCAACTTGGAATAGTTGTAGAAGGTCTCAAAAGTGTGCCCTTGCAAGGCTTCTGCCCAGGAAAAGTTATAACAGATCTATGCAGGAAAAGGATGCCAGTCCCTCAACTCACGAAATCAAGCCACTTCCATTGGCAAGGGAGACACAGGGAATTGTACCAACCACTGCCTACATTCTCTTTTTTAAATAATATATTTTGTTATAGATGGACAAAATATCTTTACTATTTATTTTTATATGGTGCTGAGGATGGAACCCAGTGCCTCACACATGCAAGGCAAGCACTCTACTATTGAGCTACAACCCCATCCCACTGCCTACATTTTCACAGGAGAAAGGTGGCGAGGCTGGAAATTCAAAATATTGCCTTCTGAACACCAAATACTTAACTTTTGGGTTTGATTGTTGGAGTTGTCAGTCCTACAAGAACAAGGAAAAAAAGGATTAATATATATATATATTAAATATTTATATATTTATATTATATACATTATATATATATATATATATATATATATATATAGTTGTAGGTGGACACGATACCTTTATTTTTTTTTTATTTTTATACAGTGCTGATGATCCAACCCAGTGACTCACGCATGCTAGGCGAGAGCTCTACCACTGAGCTACAATCCCAGCCCCTAGGAATAGGATTTTGAGGGCTGTTCAGAGAGGCCCCTGGTCCTCTTACTGTGACTGGAGCTGACAGTTAAGGAAACCCAAGCTGGGGATACTGGCACATGCCTGTAATCCTAGCAACAGGGGAGGGTGAGGCAAGAGGCTCACAAGTTCAAGGACAGCCTCAACATTTTACTGAGACCCGGCCTCAAAATAAGGAAAATTTAAAAAAGGGCTGGGGATGTAGTTCAGTGGTAAAGTGCCCCTGGGTTCAATCTCCAATACAGAAAAAAAAAAAAAAGAGGAACCCAATCTCATCCTTTCTTTCTTTTTTTTTTTTTTAAGTTGGTGTTATTTTATTTGGACCTTTATTTTATTTCTTTATTTTATGTGGTGCTGAGGATCAAACCCAGTGCCTCCCACATGCTAGGCAAGCGCTCCACCACTGAGCCACAACCCCAGCTCCTCATCCTTTCTTTACTACACATAGTCTAGTACACATAGAGGAATCGTCCCACACCATCGAGCTCATAGGCATCATGACCACCATGAGGGTCATGCTACCTCAGCAAGAGAAAGAGCCTCCCAGAAGTAAGAGACTAAATAACAGTGCTTCATGCCCCCAGGAAGGGCACTAGGGAACTGCTTGCTGCCCCCCGATACTGCCTGGCCTTGGCCAGCAGGAAAAGTCCATTCCTCCAGCCCAGATGACACCCAGGGTCTTCTGGAACAAGGCAATGCTCAGGACCAGCACCTTCTCACCTCACTGCCACAGTTCAGAGAAGCCAGGGATGCGGGTCTCTCCCGGCTGTACATAAGGCGACGGGAAAGGTCACACGGAGAAGAAAACCCCCAAGAATGACCCAAAGCATCTGGGAGGTCATACTAAAGGAGCAGGCAGGTTCCATGGGGCGTAAGAAGATGCAGAGCAATAATTCCCTGCAAATGTGCTGAGGTGAGAGGCTCATCCACAGGTGGCCGGGCATTTGCTTTGAGTGTGGCACCTATGATCGATGGGGGAAGGTGACAGGAGTAAAACATCAGGAATGAAGGATCAGCAGAGAAACTTGTTTGGACTTGTTTGGACTTTGCAGTAACTCAGTGACTTTTTAGTGCTGGTCACAAGATGACCAGAGAGTGTGTCTATGTTAGATAAGTGGATGATGTAACCTTTTTGAGTGTGGATGATGTAACCTTCCAAGTGGTAAACGAGTTGTGGTCATAGGATGATAAAGTAGTCAGGTAGTATGCTTATGTTAGATAAGTTAGGTATGAACAGCTTGTAAAGTATATAAGCGCGGGGGAAACTCCATGTAATTGCTCACAACCAACTCTCGTCGCCTGAGAGTAAGATCGTGCAGTTGTGTGCCAGCCACCTCGTGTATTGCTTTGTGTGGTGTGCGAATAAACCAGCATTTCAAAAGGCAATCGAGTTCGTGCTTGGTGTTCGCGTACGTCGCGGTCCGGGGTCCAGTGCAGATATCCGGAAGGGAACTCCTGGTAACCAGACAAGGCTGAGAAGCTGCTCGTGACAGTTGGCGTAGTCGGCAGGATACGGAAGAAGAGCTCCGGAGCAGGTAAATATAACCCACATGGCAATGCACAATTTCTTCTACTGAAAACCTAGAATGACCGTGATCGTCCGGCGTCTAGGCTGAAGGTGGAATGAAAGGGGAGTGCCCCCACCAAAATCCTTAGGAGGACGGTGGTCCCTGTGCATGGGGTGGCTTAAGGAAAGGATAGAAAATTGGGCACTATATAGCTGGCATCAGGGAATAAGTCAGATACCTTATAAGATAGAAACAAACGGGTTTATTGCTTGGAAAATTCATATAGCTAAACTGAGGATCCTCTTAAAAATAGCAACATGGGCTTCAAGGAAGTAATAAAAAGATTTAGGCAGAAATGTAGAATAGGAGAATTAAAGCTCGAGCAAAAGGAATTAAAATCTCAATCGCCATGGCGAGGTATTGAAAGAATTGTTCAGGCAAAAATGCCTGAGTTCCAGAAAGGAACCACAGTTGAGGTAACATTAAGTAATCCTCAGACCGTCAAGCCCATAATGGAACGGGCTGACAAGAAAGAAATCCCGGGAATATTATGTAAAATTATAGATGATATAGATGATGACAGGCTAAGAGGCAAAAGGTTAGTAAAAGAAGCCCTTAAAAATGGAAGTAATAACCCATTTTTGAAAGATATATTGAACCAACTGGAAGCTCCTGATAAGGCCAGCATGCCAGTTTCAGTAATTAAAACGTCCACACCCGGACGGGGACGCCCAGATGGGTTGGAACAAGTTATTGAAACTAGGGACTTAACTAGACCTGAAATGGTTCAGTTAAGGCAAGATTTTTCACAGAAAGGTCAGACCGACGGAGACTTTTTGTTTACAATTCATAGTAAGGGAGGCGAGTCTATAAGACTCGCAGGCAAGGAGATGCAGGTGGTTAATATCCAGATAGACAATCCGAGTGTTGCGGACACTTTGGCAAAGATTATACAAGAGGAACCTGACAGGGTACGCACACTTTGGGATTGGATTGCAATAGCCTGGGCAGAGGCCATCCCACATATAGATTGGGGTGTCTTTGAAGGCCAGGTACAGTGGAAGAATCCCAGTGAAGGGATTAAGATAGTAAAGAAGTTAGCTATTTTTAGCAAAATTTATAATCAGTTTCAAGGATCCCCTTTAAGTGCTCACTTAACAGCCGCGCTTAGGAGAATAATTATAAAAGGGGCACCAGAACAGCATAGAATGATGTTGGCAACCATGCTAGCTGGAGCCAACACCCTATGGGATGTAGTTGAGTTCTTAAAGCAACATCGAGAATTACAACAAGAGCACAAAATGTCATTTCAAGCTGCAATGTCATTTCAAGCTAAAGCCCGAAACCCAGTCTGTTTTCCAACAAATGGTAACGGAAATATTAAATGTTACCAGACAAAAAACTTCCGTTTGGGAGGCCCGCCTGGCCAGCGGAGCCTCCCAAGAAACAGAAATATGTTGGGAAATGGCAAAGACTGGAGAAAGGTGCGACCAGGACAAGCCTGGACACAAGGAAATGTTGCTGTAAACAACAGACAGATAGGAAGCAGAATGAAGCCACAAAGGCCGGTACCGCGAGGAAATCAGGTGCAGGACCAAAGAAGAAGGTTTGGTTTAACAATGCCAAGGTTTGGAACACCCAGATGGCAGAACAGCCAGACACCCGGCCGTTCATACAATTAAAATTTATAATTGATAACCAAGAATATACAGACTCCTTCCTGATAGATACGGGAAGCGAGGTAACAATAGTCAGAGATGATTTTGTAAATAATAAACCAGCTAAGGAAAAAGTTATAGTACAAGGAGTATCTGGACATAGTACAGAAATGAGAAAAGAATGGGTAACATTTAAAATATATGATTTGGATTATACAATACAAGTATTGGTAGGCAAAGTTCCACATGGAGTATTAGGAATTCAGGAACTCAGGTTATTATATGGTGAATGGTTACCTTTGAAGAGATTGAAGTGTTTTGAAACAAAAATTTTAAGTCAAGTAAAGATTGATCCAGTAAAATTGCCCCATACTCCACCAGTATTTACTAAACAGTATCCTATTAAAGGAGGACATGAAGAGATTAGCACCACAATAAAGGAAATGTTGGAAAAAGATATAATAGAAAAGGCATCATCATTTAAATATAACAGTCCAGTATGGCCTGTTATGAAACCTAATGGCAAGTGGAGATTGACGGTAGACTATAGGAATATAAATAAAGTAACCCCCTCTATGCCAGGTACTCTCCCAGATGTAGAGTCCATTTATGCTCAAATTAGGAATTTTTCACCTACTTGTTTTTGTGCTATAGATTTGAGTGATATGTTTTTCGCTATCCCATTAGATATTAAGAGTAGAGAATTGACTACATTCACTTGGGAATCAGTACAATATAGGTTTAAGAGGTTACCACAAGGATATAAAAATAGCCCAATTATAGCACATGTAACTTTACAAGAAACGTTAAAGGATTTTCAAGATAAAGGAACTACTAAGTTATGGTCATATGTAGATGATATATTAATTGCTGGGAAAGATATGACCGAGTTAAATAAGGTAAAGGACGAGGTAGTTACATTATTGAAGTCAAAAGGATGGTCCATCAATCCTGATAAAATTCAGGGTCCAGCCACGTCAGTTAAGTATCTGGGGGTGGCGTGGACTACAGAAGGACCTAAGGTTCCGGATGCAGTGATAAATAAGATTTTGGCTTTACAGTCACCAAAAACCAAGACAGAGGCTCAGCAGGTGATGGGCATTTTGGGATATTGGAGATTACATATTCCATATTTGCAAATGATTCTGGCTCCAATACACAGGGTATGCAGGAAAGCTGCGGACTTTGTATGGGGACCGGAACAGAAAAAGTCATTAGAATTAGCTAAGGAATATGTTCAGACATATACCCAATTGTATGTACCTCAACCTGGTGAAGAAATTATAATTGATATAATATATGCCAATGACTTTGGAAATTGGGGCATATATACTAAAAGTAATAGTCAGACTAAACCAGTTGGGTTTTACTCCAAAAGATTTCCTTTTTCCGAAAACAAGTACTCTTTCTTTGAAAAAACAGTGTGGACAGCTTATACGGCGGTACAGAGTCTAGGTTTTGTTTTAACTAATAGAGTAGTTACATTAAGAACTCAGATACCAATTTTGGATTGGGTACGAACTAAGGAGGAAGACTTTAGAGGTTTACCCATGGAACAAAAAGTGTTGAAATGGAAATGGTATTTGTTAACTATAGTTAATGATGCAACAGTGTCAGGGAATAATAAGACATTAAGGTTATCAGAATTAGTTTTTGCTCAGCCTATGGTAGAAGTACCGGTAGAGGTTAAACAACCAAAGACACAACCTATTGGAAGATGGGGGGCAGTTGCTTCTCATAAAAATGCATGGTTCACAGATGGATCAAGTAAAGTAGTAGGAAATATCACTAAATGGAAAGCTGTGGCATATCGACCAAGTGATAATAAGATCTTAGTGAAGGAAGGCTCGGATGCCTCAGCACAGTTAGCAGAACTCTGTGCAGTAAAATTGGCCGTTGAACAATCTATCCATGAAAAGAAAAAGTATATACACGTTTTTTCGGACTCATGGGCAGTTTGTAATGGTATTGCCATATGGTCTGCAAAATGGAAGGAATCTGATTATAAAATTAATGGAAAAGATGTATGGGGAATACATATTTGGAAATTTCTTGCGGAGGCACCTATACATGTAAAGATAGTGCACGTTGATGCTCACACAGGACGTACAGATGAAATATCTAAATTTAATGATGTGGCAGACAAATTGAGTAAATTTGACTCCGAAGGGCTAAAATTGGTGAATAAGGCCCCTTGGAAAATATTAGATAGAACAGATACAAAGATTCGATTGAAACGTGATCCAAATTGGCATATAAAACTTCCTGAATTGAATGCTGATATTTCGGAGGATGAGATCCGACAATTGCATAAGGAATTAGGACATATTGGAACACATGGAATGTTCCAGTGGTTTCAAGGAAGAAATATAAAAGTCACCTGGGGAGCATGCAAGCATGCGATATCTGGATGTGAATTATGCGCATCCTCGGTACAACGTTTCCGGAGGGATCCACCCCATAATAGGCCGTCACCAAGAGGATTTAATGAAAAGGTACAAATTGATTATATTGGTCCTTTGCAGAATGGAAAATATGTGTGTACTATGGTAGATTGTAGTACCGGATTGGGACATGCATGTGCAAGTAGACATGCAGATCAAAGCTCTACTATGAAAACTATTTGGAGCTGGTGTGCAGCATATGGATGTCCTTGGAATGTGACTTCTGATCAGGGTTCTCATTTTACTGGTAGAAATGTTCAGAAATTAGCTGACGTTTTAGGAATTAATTGGGATTTTCATTTGGCCTATAATCCACAAGCAGCAGGAAATATTGAAAGGTTCAATGGATTATTAAAGACTAAATTGTGGCAGATAGGACAAGATGTGCCATTTGACAAGGCAATACTGATTGCAGTTTTTGAACTTAATTCTAGGCAAAGACTGCACAGGAGATCACCCTTTGAGGAAACATTCCAAAAGGACATCGATGTGCAGGCAGACGGGGACCCAAACCCAGATAATATAAGACCATACAAGGTGTGGATACGTAACAGAAAAGATAACTCTGTGATTAAAGGTGAGATTGTATCACACGGACAAGGAAATACCCTATGGGTATCAACTGGAAAAGGGGACCTCAGATTAGTAAAAAGCCAAGATGTTGTCACTAGGTAAACGTTTGTGTGTTTGGTTTAACATATGCTTTATTATCCTGATTGTATATTCTTGCTTGTTTTTGGGTGGATATTTTTATTGTAACGAATGGCAGACAGCTCTTTTGAATGGTTCTACTTGTTTTATTAACGTGAATCATAAATTGTTGGCACGGGATTTGCTACCCTGTTATGTACTTAATTATACACTATGTTTCTGGTAATGGCACCTAGGACTTTGTTACTTTTGCTATTTTTGCTACTTTTGATAGCCCTGCAGTTCTATTCAGTAATGGGAAATCAAACTACAACTCCCACTACTTTTACTACTATAACTCCATATTATTTTGGTATCAGGAACATTAACCTGACCAAGCATTCTTACAAAGAATGGATCTTTAATTATATTAATTTTACTCATTCACTTCAAGAGTGTAATAATTCTTGTGCAGTAATACCACAATATTGGAGAAGTAACAAATTCCTACAAAATTTTACTGCTATTAGATACTTGTTTTATCATAATTATGCATTTTGCCACCATTATAACAAACACTCCGCACCTAAGGAGTGTGACCATTTTTGGGACATCAATACAGTTGGGGTATATAGCCCAATGTTTAGATCTAGTGCGGATGGAGGATATTCTAATAAATATGAAACTAACCCCCTCCGATGTCATCTTGTACCTGGGATTATGGATATGTGGTCTTATAAGCCACATTTTGTGTATTATTATAGGAAACTTGGAGGCAAACCTTTAGTTAAGAGCTATAATGCTACAGCAGCAGTGCTTAATAATCCAAACCTTACTGTATATACTTTTGAGGAGTCTACAGAAGAGAATGACTTTACATGTATAAAAGCAGCAGAAAAGGATGTTGCATCACTGCCTTTTCAGGTTTGGGTGTCCAACAAACAGAATGATTATAATTTATTCAATTATGAATATGAAGAATATGACTATTCTTCATATGATGATGGAAAAGAAGAAGGTTCTGGTGAATTTACAACTACAACCCCACGAACAACTACGTTGGGGATAAATTTGTTGCCATATAATGATTCTAAGGAAATGTTGGATGAGTGGAAAAGATTGCCTAGACATTTACAAGGAGCTAGGCCGTTGCCTAGATGGCCGCAAGTTTTAGTTGAACCCTACGGGACATGGTGTCCAAAAGAGTTACAGCAGTATCTAGATTCCATGAGCACTAAACAAAGGAATATGTCTATATATATTGAAGATGTGCAAAGCAGAACTCATTTGAATTATACCCATTATGTATCTTGTGTAGCGGATTTTCCTAATTTACCTATATATGGAAAGTTCGAGATTCTACAGAATCCTGATAGATCCTTAGAAATACGGAACCAATCTTATCTTACTATAGATAATTGGTGGAAAGTCAATACCTTAGGTACCGCCACTTGGCGATCACCTGTTGTGTTGACCGACCCTTTACCACAGCCATTTACCCATAACTTGGTTAAACCAGTGGCCACGCCTCCTAAATTAAAGGACAAAATCGGGTATGTTTGTATCCGTAGCATTTTTGGAGATATGCTTAACCGAACACAGGGACAAGCATTTATTGGTAGAGTTTGCTTCCCTGTTGATTCAACCTTCCTTAAGTGGTGCCAATATAGATATTATTATAAAATTGGTAATTATTCATCTGTAACTTATAAGATTCACACACAGGCCTGTAGGCTGGGTCCAGCTTACAGGACGACTGGGGTATTACATCCTGAATTTGGAATGTTTAATCACTCTGGATGGCTACTATTTGAAAACAAAACAAGGAGGTATGTTTTTAAAAATGCCAATAATGAATGGGACCTCTCAGAGATTGTGGATGGCCCGAAATTGGGACAGAGAGTGCATAGTCCAGGGTTACATGAGTATAAATTCACCGTGGACAAATACATTGTTAACCAGACAGTGTGGAAAAACTACACACAATATTATAATATATTTAATTGGACATGGTGTTATAATTTTAGCAGACAAAATTGTGTACAGAATCCTCTTCATGCTGTATATTTGAATGCCTCTCATATGCATCTTGAGGTGAATAATACGTGGCATAGGTTTGATAATCAGTCCTGGCAACCTGTATTGGTTGTCACACCTGAGGATATTTTGGAAAAACACTTTTATAATGTTACATTTCTGCAGGTAGATTATACTTATAATGGATCCAAAGGAGAATCTTCAAAGTGGCCTTATTATAAATGCCAAGACTGTACCTTTAAGTTTTATGATAATTTCTTTGGGACTTTGATTCCCGTGTTTAATTTGAGTGATGACAAAATCAGAGTGAATGTCCATAATATGTCAATCCCGATGGGAGTTGATTCTAATTATGTGGACACTAAAAATGTTAGTTTAGCTATGGAAAGATCTATTTGCAGATGGTTTCCACATTCATGGCAATATGTGATTGGTATTCATAGGTCTATTATGCATAATGATTCCACGTACTATGATATTCCTCTTGATGTAAATATAACTGGAAATGTTTCCAAACATTATGAAGGTGGTAATGTTGTATTAGGCAATGAGGAAAAACAAACGAGGGATTATACTTTACATCCAACAGTATATTCTCTTGCATTTGTACCACCAGATTTGGATGAAGTTACTTTAGTGAATTACAAAACAGAAACTTACCTGGTAAATGCTGATGACTACTGGTCATTGAAGACTGGGTGCCCTAGAGCACAGCTCTGGGATACTATAATTAGATACCATGTGGATATAGCAGATAGAAAAACTCTGAAATGGTGGTTGACACAAGGAATGGATTTCTCTACTTGGTCTAGTAAAATATATCCAGGAAAATTACCTTATTACTGGTATATGTTATTACCAGGAAGTGAAAATGAATGGAATCTTTATGATATTGTAACACATGATGTTTTACATAATAATACTGATGTGTTTGATGCACATGCAGGTAATCATATTATATATAGTACAAAGATGGATATGCAGAAATGTTACATGGAACCGACCTCTTTGAATCCTTGTTTAATCGATAGAGGAGGATTTAATGAAACCAAGGGATGGGTTACTGCCCATTTCCCAAGAGCGGTCCTCTTCCCACGCAAGGAAAAGGACGGTAATTTTATGAAGACTTTAGAGGCTCCAGGATTTTTACCTTTACTACATCAGCCAGTTAGATTTTTGATACAACCACAAGTACAGCCAATTGTGTTACGATTGTCTGTTAGTGATTTGTTGAAAGGTGAAACTGTATGTCCTTCTTTTGAGTCTACTGTGTTGCCAGATTTGTTTTATTCAGTTCAAAGAAATGCAGCAGGACGGAGACCTTTGCAGTTCGCAGCGATTGGCGCTTTCCTGGCCGGAGCAGCTTTGGGGGCAGCAATCGCTGGAGCAATGACGGAGGAACTTCGAGTGGAAATTTCAGCTCTTCGAGGACTTCAGAATAAACAGAACTTTGTTATCTCACAATTATCTAAAAATCTGCACTCCGCATCTTTACTTATGGAAAGACTTTCTGCAGAACAGGAACTTTTGAAACATCATGTTGATTCATTAAGTAAGGTGATTGAGACCATGGATGCATCATGGAATGTACGTATGAAACAATTGGAGGCAACTCAGGAGTGTGAACATCTACAAGCAATGATCACCGCGGGATTAGAAGAAATAAGACTGTTATTTAGAACTGGTATAGGCATGGAAACTGCATCAGCTATAACCATATTAGATCCTACAAAGGATTCTTGGTGTGAAACTGGTGTTTGTATGATTAATTTATGGCAAATGTCGACATCTAAAGTTGTAATAGGGTATCCAACTAAGGCTATACCGAAGAAAATTGGTAAAGATTGGATAATACCATTTGATAAGTTTTATTGGTTAAAATGGAACAATATGTCATATTATGTGCCTAGTGAAGCCACTTATGCTATAGGTAAAACAACTATTATAGCATATGATCTTTTCTCAGAGGAACCTAGAACTTCTGATATAACTATATCTATGCCTCAGGCTACTTTGTTAGATCTTGGAAATTTTAATATGTTGTCTTGTTATCCTGAACCTTACATGGTTCGACGATGGCAGAACATTTCTTATAATGATTCTTTGAGTTTGAATGCTGGTTGTCATATACATTCCAATGTTATGATGATGGAACATATGAATCTCACTGTTAAGAAACATCTATTTAGGTCTACGAAGTTTAATGATACGCAAAATTTACGAGTCCTGACTCAGGTGGTTTATTTGTCTAATCATACTTTTGGGTTACATACTTTTGTGCCCCAGCCACCTCTGTTGGAAGAATATAAACATATGATGAAGGCGACGGAGGCAGCTAAGTCCATTTATGCTTCATTGGGAAAGGAAATTGAGACAGTACATAATCAAACTACTGAACTTCTCCAAAGATTCTCAGGAGAAACTCATAAAGTTAAAATGTTGGTTGATTCCGGATACTTGATTCCGCGTGACTTTCAGTATACTTATGATTGTAGTTTTGTAGGTTTCTTTAGAAAATTAGTTCATGCAGATGTGAGTTGTATTATGAGATGGAATCCTTTCCATTGGCTTAAGGAAGGATTGCTATATGTATGTTGTTTTGTATTATTAGTATTATGCATTAAGGTTTGTTTAAAGATTAATAAGTCTGCAGGAAAGAAAACTTACATTAAAATGGATAAACTTCAACATTACAGAGACCATGAAGCGAAAGGCACTAAGAAAATTAAATCCAAGAAGGAGAAGGACGGCAAGATCGAGGAATTATTCTGAACAGTTGCACTATGCAAATTGTCATCTTTGCATCGAATTTCATGTAAATACATGGTTTTTATATAGTGCATATACACTGTTTGGGCAGGAACGTTTTTCTCTTTTATGTAGACTAGTAACCTTACGCAGTGGACCATGGTGTCCGCTGGATAATAATTTAGAGGGTATTGTACCTTCTTTATGTGTATTCTTAAATCATGTTTGGAATTGTATTCCTAATATTAATTCGCACTGTAATGTTTATTGTAGGTATGATGTACACTCGTGTGTTAAGGGTTTATTTGGATTGTTCACGGAAGTAATGAAGTCTGATCATGATTTGTTGACACAGCAATCTAATGCATTTGCTTTTTACATTAATGGGATTATTTCCCTTAGCTATGATAGATCATTGTTGTTTGGTGATGAGTTATTATGTAGGAGTTTTGCGCAATGCAGACGGAGGAAGACGTATAACCCTAGATCTTTGTTTGATATATGCTTAAGGAATATCTGTAAGCCTTATTTTGTTAAATTGTGGACTTATGTCGATTGTCACCAAAACTTACCCAGACTTGGTTAACGTTATAGAATTTCTTGAGGAACTATGTCTGTGGACCAGATAATCATCAGACGGATATTAGGACGCAAATTGAGGAACGACCTGTTGTTCCGGAAGGATCGCATGACTCCAATTCCGATGTTCTTGGAAAAAGATGTTGATTATCCATTTATGATAGTTCACAATATGGTGATAGATTTATCGTTAGTGAAGGATTTGAATTTTGATGTTTATTCACGACTGACACATCCTTTTGTGCCACATGTGAAAGCTCCCTTTTGCTGTGAGATTCGTACTATGATTGCACCTTTTCTACACTCCTGTGTGGTTGGTGGCTGCATGGATGCCGTGGATTGCATCTTCCAATCTGAAGATTGGTTCGAAGGGTTGCGACAGCCCATATGTTTCCCCGAGGACGGGCAACTTCCGAATGGACGACCTAAGACAGGGGACCGTACTTGTCGCTTTGATACATCGGCACCATCAGTACCATCGGCGCCTCCGTATCAAGGGGGTGGAATGACAGGAGTAAAACATCAGGAATGAAGGATCAGCAGAGAAACTTGTTTGGACTTGTTTGGACTTTGCAGTAACTCAGTGACTTTTTAGTGCTGGTCACAAGATGACCAGAGAGTGTGTCTATGTTAGATAAGTGGATGATGTAACCTTTTTGAGTGTGGATGATGTAACCTTCCAAGTGGTAAACGAGTTGTGGTCATAGGATGATAAAGTAGTCAGGTAGTATGCTTATGTTAGATAAGTTAGGTATGAACAGCTTGTAAAGTATATAAGCGCGGGGGAAACTCCATGTAATTGCTCACAACCAACTCTCGTCGCCTGAGAGTAAGATCGTGCAGTTGTGTGCCAGCCACCTCGTGTATTGCTTTGTGTGGTGTGCGAATAAACCAGCATTTCAAAAGGCAATCGAGTTCGTGCTTGGTGTTCGCGTACGTCGCGGTCCGGGGTCCAGTGCAGATATCCGGAAGGGAACTCCTGGTAACCAGACAAGGCTGAGAAGCTGCTCGTGACAGAAGGCCACTTGCAGTGTGCCATAGTGGGACAGAGTTGTCTGGCTGACCTATACAAGATAGGAAGTCAGATCCTGTGTTAGCCATTGTCCTTAAAGCCAGCTGCTGGAAACCACGGACCCTGCCATTTCATTGTTCCGGCCACAGGCAGAAGCCACCCATGGCTTTCCTCTAAGCCCCTGCTCCAGGAGATGACTCAGGATTCAGGCTGCTCTGCAACTTGCACACCTGGAGCCCAGGGCACTCCCGAGGCCAGGGGAGAAAGACCAGGGTGCCCCACGATGTGTTTGCAAAACCCCGAGAGAGTCTTCTCAAAAGCTTCTTTCGCCCCACAGAAAGGCAGAGGTGAAGTCCAAATGGTGAAAGAGTGGAACACAGAATCAGTCACAGGTCTGAAAACAACAGAAGGAAATATCAAATAGTGTTATAGCATGGGGGACATCCTGGACAGACAGACCACTCAGAAATCATCAAGTACTAGTTTCATAAGTGTGTTCACATAAAAACCTGAGACTTCTCATGGGCCTCACACAGCAGAGCTGTTCAGAAGAGACAGAATGAGAGAAGACAGTGCCTGCTATGCTCAAATTCGGGACCCCCAAAAGACCACCAGAGACCAAGATCGATGTAAGCAGCAAAGAGGTGTTTATTGTGAGCTAGCTCGGTCCTCCGCACGCACACAGCAACTGGTGACGCTGAGAGGCCCTGAGCCCAGGGTTTGCAGCAGTTTTATACACTCTTTGGGGAAGGCAGGGACTTCACATACATCATAGCATCTCTTAGCAAATCATCACACACCACGGGGGGGGGGGGGATCAAACAACTCTAAAACATGATTAGCACATTCACTGGCGGGAACAAGTTGGGTAGGGGTGATTGATTACTACGAGAGGGGGATTCGTTTGAACTGATTGGTGTTCGTGCTGAACTACACAGTTTCCCAACACATTATCGATCACCATAAACTACTGGGAGGGTCATCTGGCATCCCAGGTATTTCCCTGTCTCATGCTGATTGGTGGCTGCTAGGGGGTTGCTATGGGTCCCCACCTAGCCTGACTGGGTCAGGGACACCTGGGGCAGCAGATCTCTCCTGTTATTTGTAGATAAACCACTTAGCAGGGTGGAAATGTGCCTAAGAGTGCTCTGTGGGTCTTTCCAAGGACAAAGGTCACGTCCCTTCCTTGGACAGGCTTTGCTCTGAGGTAGAGGCTGGTTTTTCATGCCAAGATAAGTACCCCAGCCACAGCATGTGACAGGCACCCTCAGGGCACGGGCAGTTAGTTCCCTGACTCAGAAGCCCAGATGGGGGATGAATTTAGGATGAGGGAGCGTGCTCAGCGTGGAGCAGGAAAATGCAAAATCCAACACAATAGGATAGTACCTTACACGGGCAGAATGGCAAACCTGTAGCGAGTGAGCTTTGGGGATAAGAGAATCCTCTGGTAGTGCTGGTGGGGATTTAAACCACCAGCTGGTCTTGAAGGATGAGGGGTGACATCCTTTGAAATAAGGGCACGGATGCCCTTTGAACCGCAGCGTGGACTATTGCATAGCAGTAAGAGGGAGAATTCCTGGCGCACGCAATAATTCCCAAGGTTCTGCAGAGAATCAGGCTGCGCGAACACCAGCCCACCCAGAAGCTGTTGCAGGCTGCACATGTGGTTAGGTTGACGCAACACTCTTCCGGGGACGAAATTGTATACATGGGGAACAAGATTACTGGTTGCCACGGACTAGGCGGGAAGAGGGGGGTCTTTTAAAGGTCAGCGGCTGGGGGCTGTGTCCTGGCTGGGGTAGTGGTGAGAGGAACTTGGGCAATGGACGACTGGACTGGCCCAGCGCCCCACGCCCGCACAGGAGCGATACCCGGCGCGGCTTCCTCAGGCTTCTGAGGCTGCATCACTGTCGGGCAAGATGCCCAGGCTGGGGGAACTGCGGGGAAGAGTCACCCGCCTCCTGGGTGTGCTAGGCAACTTCCGGTGAATCAAGAATTCGGAAGTCCTAGCGCAGAACCCAAAGACGGCCCTGCAGCGTTAGGTGCGCAAGGGAGAGCAGCGCAGCCGCACTCAGCTCCAGCCCCAAGCACAAAACAGCCCCAACGCACTACAGCCCCGCCTGTGGGAGCGCGAACGCGACGGGGTGGACTCCATTGAGCAGAAGAGCCGTCCGTCACAGGCAGGGGGGCGGGACGCCCTTTGGAACTGAGCTTCCTTATTGGTGAAGCTAGCCGGAATGGTAGGGCAGGAGGCCGGGAGGGACCTTCCGGTGGGTGGGGCAGCAGAAGTGGCGAGAGGCGGCGGGGGTGAGGGGCGTGGCGCGGTGATGTTCCCGCGCCTGCGGCTCCCAGGCCCCCCTTCCCCTACGACCCGGGCGCCTAGACCGTCCCTGCGGAAGGAGCCGAGGGGAAGCCTCCCTGCTCGCGGGATCCGGGGCCCGGGAGCCCATGGGCCGCGATGAGCCCGCCCGTCCCGTTCCCCCACAGGTCCCCGTTCTGAGGGTCAGCGCGGCCTTCTAGAAGGTCCGGGACGGATTCGTAGCGCTCCCAGGGAGATTGGGAGACGGGGAAGGAGAACTGGCGACCTCACGGGGGCTGGCGGGGTAGCACGGCCGCCCCACCTCGGGCCCCGCCCACTCGGGCCCGAGCTCTCTGGCGCCGCCTGTGGTGAGCTTCACGGCCCCGGGGCCCCGACGTGTGGCGGCCCCTCTCTATCCCAGCCCGCCGCGTTCGCCGAATGCTCCTGAGCGTGTCTCTGGGCGGGTTCGCTGCCAAGCACGGACGCCCCCTCCTCCTGCACACAGGGTGCTGTGCACAGTAGGGCGGAGCGGGCAGCCTGGTCGCGGGAGGACGTGGCGCCTGTCAGAGGCGTGTGTCCACGCTTCTGGAGATGGGGACGCAGGAAGGTGACAGTCTCCCAGTGTCACTCGACAGGGTGGTCTGCCACGGGGGATTCCTGTTGTGCGCCAGGACGACCAGTGGTTGGGCACCGGCTGGGGCCCTCTCACTTCCTGGGGAGGTAGGTCAAGGTGAGCCCCGCAGAGAAAGCCCTGCAAACGGGAACCCGCCCTCCCTCCGCCGCTCCCTCCGCCGCTCCCCCCGCCGCTCCCCCCGCCCCTCCCCCCGTGCTTCCCACGTGCTTCCCACGTGCTTCCCACGTGCTTCCCACGTGCTTCCCACGTGCTTCCCACGTGCTTCCCACGTGCTTCCCACGTGCTTCCCACGTGCTTCCCACGTGCTTCCCACGTGCTTCCCACGCTGCAGCGTGCCTGGGAACACCTGCCGAACTGGTTCCCACTAAGGAGCCTGGAAAGGCTGGTTGCCGCCTTCCTTCCCTGGCAGGCGGAGCCTCCCAGCTTCTGGGTGTTGCTGCACAGGCCTTCCCGCGGCGTGGGGCACGGACACCCACCCCGAAGACTGCTGGGCTCCACCACACTGCCCTGGTTGGTCTTCCTGCAGGTCCAGGGGCTGCCTGTAGTTTAGTCACCTAGCTGAGCACTGAGCGCTGAGCGAAACAGCAGTCTTGGAAGCCCACGGTCTCCAATAGAGTCGCTTGCCCGGTGTGGAAGCCCTTTGCGTTTCCGTTCCTCTCCTCTGTCCCTATTGCTACTTGGTCATCTGCCTTTTTGCTTGTTGGTTGGCTCCAGGTCTCTACCTGGTAACACAGGAGCCCTCGATCACATCTTGAAGCTCGCTTTCGCCACTCTGTCAAGTCTTTCACACACTGGTTTGAGAAGTTGTTGGGGGTCAAGTAGAAAATTTTAGTCTTCGTATCATTGCAATTCCCAGGCTTTTCCTAATGGTTTCTGGGGTTTCTTTGCCTTGGGCTAACTGGGCAAGCTCCCCCAGTTAAAACCCTGTGCATCTGGCTTTTATGTCCCAGGTCAGGGGGCCCCCTGGAGTTTGGCTCTGGCTCAGGTCTCTTGGGTGTGGGTCTTGGTGGTGGTGGTGGTGGTGGTGGCATGGAGGTGCTGTCAGCTGGGGTTAGCAGGGGGCCTTTAATGCCTCCCTGCAGGGCCTCTCCCTAGGGCTGCTCAGGCCAGAGCTTTCGCAGAGCCAGGGATCAGAGAGATGGGGAGGGAGAGGGCAGGAGGGAGCACCCCAAGGCCAAGCCACAGTCTTCTTAGGACCTCATCCCCTGATGCCCTTCACCCCTGCTGTCGTTTTTTAATTGGTCTCATAGGTCAAACCAGGATCAGTGCAGGACAGGAGAATGTATGCAAGGAAAGAGGTTGTTCCCACCTGGCACTATAAGGCACAAGGTGGCTGCTGGCGGGCACCTTGGCTCAGGGACTTGCATGTGCCACTCCAGGTCCTAAGCAGGTCCAACTCTGGAATGTGTCCCAGGTGTAAGCCCAGCCTCAGGACCCAGATTGAGTGGCTTTCCCATCTTTGAGTCATTGCAAATTAAAACACAGACAACCCCAACAAGGAAGGAGGATGTGCCCTGGAGAGCCTGGTGTGTGTGACCCTCAGACCTTCTGTGTGTGCTCTCTGGCCCATGCTCATGGAGCTTGTGCCCGCCGAGCTGGGTAAATCCTGTCCCTGCAGTTTGTCCTGATGACAGGCTCAGGAGGTCCTTTCTTGTCACAGCAACTTGTTCAGCATCCCAGGAATCCCCTCCAAGCCTGGGGGGCTGGACACTCCCCGCCACCTGCAATGTCCCACCCAGGGGCTGGCGAAGCTCTGCATGAGGTATGGGTGACTTTTCTGCAGCAGGCTGGGCCTCTCCTCTGCCTCCACCCCAGAAGGAACCATGAAGGGCAGGTGCCCAGGAGTGGAGAGGTGTGTGCCTCGTCATGGCGCAGGCACAAAAGTCCCTTTCCTAGGCGACTGCCTCACGTTGCCCAGGTCCTGGGCACTGGCATCTCAGTTGGGGCAGTTGGCAGCCTGGGAGGTGGGGACGCTGAGGGATGAGGTGAGACACAGGGAAGAAACTTCCCTCTGGCCTGAAGGAGGCCGTTGGTGCCTCATCCTTCCTGGTCTGCACTCGGTGGAGACTTCTCCATGGTGCTCCTGGTGGCTCTGAATCTGTCAGTGAGCTTCCCTGGTGGTGAGTGCTTTTGCTGTGGGCTGTCACCGCTGGGCAGCACCCGGACCCTGGCAAACAGCTCCTGGCGCTTTCCCCAGCTGCCTTGCACATCTGGACCTCAAGGTGGGCCCTTCTTGTGTGGATGTGTTCTTTTTTTTTTCTTTTCTTTTTAATAAGTTTTTAAATTTATTTTTATGTGGTGCTGAGGATCAAACCCAGTGCCTCACATGTGCTAGGCAGGCGCTCTACCACTAAGCTGTAACCCCAGCCTGCAGATGTGTTCTTGGCATATGGGGACAGCCCCTCAGCCAAGATGTCGGGCTAAGGGTCCTGGGGCTCCTCAGGAGGACACGCTCGGCTCTGTGCACACGCACACTCTGGGGTCGGCTCTGCACACGCACACTCTGGAGTCAACTCTGTGCACACCCACACTCTGGAGTCATCTGTGTACTTGCTGTCCTGTCCATCCCTCTAGCCTCTGAGAGAATGGAGCCAGCTTTCCCATCCTTTGCGGCTCTGCAGGGAGAAACGGGGAGAAGCTTTGATTCCTCTGCCTGGGATGATCTCAGGGAGCCTGGTTGGAGCCACATCTTCCCAACCCCAGCTGCCCTACACCCTTGCAGGGGGTGGGGGACGGGCTCTTAGCAGCCCGCTGTGCAGAGGGGAGAGCCAGACCCCGTCCTGATGCGCACAGCTCACCCTGACTTAGCCTAAAGCTGCCGCCTCCTCACCCTACTGCCCTGCCCCCCTTAAGGATCCTGGAGGAGCTTCCCTAGAGTATCATAGCCTGTGCTCCAGACCTGTGGGGTCACCAGCAGCTGTCCCCATGGGCCCCCAACTCTAGATTGAACCCAGGGACCTCTTGGGAGCAGCATGCCTGCCCCCTTGGCACCTGTATCCAGGGCCTCTGGAGCCATCTTTAGTCAGGGGCCTCCACTCCTGTCCCTAGGGAGACCTAGTGCCCTGGTCACAGCTGGAGAATGGGCCCTGGGACTCTCTCTTCTGGGCTGGCTCCCTTCTGCTCCTGGCATCTGTTTGCCAGCAGGCCCAGACAAGGGGTGTGCTGGGGCTGGGCCACCACCTCTTGGGCTCTGTGCCCAAGGTGGCTGGGCCTTTGAGCCCTGCCTGCCTCCTCCTAGCATGCCCAGTGGGTCCTCCTGGATTTCCTCGGTGTGGCTGGCTCACAATCAGGATGGGGCCTGCACACGGGGGTTCCCATCTACCTGCCCTCCCCTGGGAGGCCCCTGGCCAGGACGGGTCTCCAGTCTGTGTCCCTCCTGCCTCCTTGCCCTGGTGGCCTCTTCTAGCTCACTGCCTGGACTGGCCTGTCTCCTGTCACCAGGGGCATATTCCACCCCCTTGGCCCCTGCCACCTAGTTTGGCATTTTCTTCTTTTCCCCTGTGTCTTTTAGCCCTGTGTCTTTACCCTCCAGAAGTGATGTGGAGGGGAGATTGGGGAGTTCTGGTTTAGCCCTGCTCAGCTTGGCATGTTCCTTGGCTCAGGCCCTGAGAGGATGCAAAGCAGGGTTGTCTCCTTGAGGTGGGGTCAGTGCCGGTGCTGGGAGGAGGTAATAGGTTTGGCGTGGCTCCATGGTGTAGTGTCCTGGGGACACCAGGGCTGGAGGGGGAAGGACATTCCTGAGGAGGACCTCTCATCCCCTAGGTGGCAATGGATCTCTCTGTACGTGGTTCTGCTGGTCCCTGGCCTCTCCGTTTGGGCAGCTTCTAGAGGCTTCTGGAGTGTGGGATACCTTCCCTACCCCACCCCTGCCATTGATCACAGTAGGAGTAGTAGCAGGGCTGGGCTGAGGTTCTGGTTTTATCCAATAGTTTCCTGCCAGCCTCTAGGGTGGTATCTTCTTGGGACTGGTGAACTGGAGCCTAGTGAGCAGTCCCACCCCTTAGAGTGGGCCCTGTTCACTGAGGGGCACTGAGACTCAGCCTGCTGGGGCAGGGGATTTTAGGATAATCCCTTATTCAGAGGGTTTGTAGCAAGTTCAGGGTTCCTGGTTGATGGCTAGGACTTGCTGCAATTTCAAGACTCCTTATCTGGTAATCTCCACCAGAGTGTCTTCTTGATCCCACCCTAGACAGCAGAGGACCTTCCTTGCTGGCATTTAGTCTCTTGCAGTGTGGCCTTTTTTTCCTAGACTCCATTCTTAGAGCTCCACAGATCCTTCATCCTGCAATGGTTATAATCCAGAGAGGCAGAGAAGAAGCAGGTGCAGATGAAGCCTCTGAAGAGTTAGGAGGTGAGGTAAAGCAGGTGCCCATATGCACCAGGAGGACTACCTGGAGATCCAGCAGCCTGCACTGGACCCATGTTTCTGCCCTGCTGGTGTCCTTGTCAGTTTGGTTTGACATCAACCTCCATGAGAACTATAGCCACTCAGAATGGAAGCAGAACTTTATTCCTCTTGACTGGGAAAGATAACTAGCAGGTGGTCGTGCATAAGATCCCCACTTCATACCCCTCCCCAAACCAAAGAAGACAAGCGGTGCCACCAAGTGGCTCCCTCTGCCCAAGGGAAAGCCAAGAGGCTAAAGGCTGGCTGGGAAGGCAGGTGAGCACAGCGTAGGACAGGGGCGACTGCAGTGATGGGATGGCCAAGGCAGGCCAGGGCTCAAGGGAAGAAGGTGGGACTGCCTAGGGGGTCGGGAAGGCATGGGAACACTTCTTGTCATGGAAGCTGCTGGCTGGCATGGGCACCAGGCTCAGGGTACCATGACACGGTAGGGGCTGCCTGGGATATGCTCATCGCCCCACTTGACCACCAGTGTGTACTCCCCTTTGTCCTTGAGCAGGTAGGAGACACTGTAGAGCCGGCTTCCCACATGCTTCACCAGGATCTCCTCGCAGGGTGTTCTTGGGCCATGGACTCCCACCAGCAGCATATTGTTGCCTGAGGTAGGAAGGGCTACAGGCTCAGGTCCCAGTCTCTTTCCTTCAGCTGTGACTAACCCCCTTAACCCCCTTCCCATATCTTTTCTCTACCTGTTTTGGGACACTAGCCCTTCCAAGAAAGCTGCCAGCACCCTCCCCTACCCAGGGAAGCAGAGGAAATTCCAGCTCCCCAAGGCATTTCTTGAGGGGCAGAGAAGGCATAGAGGTCCACATGGGAAGTGACATTACAAGTGACAGCCACAACCCTAAAGGTGGTTCCCATTCCTCCCATCCCATTGTTTCTTTGTTTTTGGCACCAGGGATTGAACCCAGGGGACTTAACCACTGACCATGTCTCCAGACCTTATTCTTTATTATGAGACAGGGTCTCACTAATTTGCTGAGGCTGGCTTTGAACTTGCAATCCTCTTGCCTCAGCCTCCCAAACTACTGGGATTAGAGGTATATGTTACCACACCTGGCTTCATACCATTATTTCTGGTCTGGTCTTTCTGGAAGACAGGGGCAGAGCTGCCTACCTGCTTTGCTGCAGTCCACTGTGAAACTGCTCTTTTGTCCTGCATAAGCCTTGCTCAGCCCCAGGCCCTTTGCCACAACCTTGCTGGCATCAGCAGGACCTGGACCTGGTGTTCCATGCTGTGGGGCACCAGCAGCCTTGGTGAGGGAGTCCACAAATACTGATGATGTCTCATGGAGGCTGTGGTTGCTGACGAGGCGGGGGCCTATAGGGCAAAATAGGTGAGGCTAAAGGTGGCTGGAGTGTCAGTCACTGGGTAGGTGCCAACAGCCTGATCTTAGGCTCACCTGTGACCTTTGCCTTGAAGGGGCTGCCCCCAATGTGGTAGGGACCACCATACTTGATGGAGATGAGGTAGCTACCAGGTGCCATGGGGGTATAAGTGACGCGGTAGCCCTCAGGGCACTCCTGACAATCCATCTTCACCTTGGAGGGGCCATCAATGGTCACCGAAAGGGCTCCAGCTCCTGCATTGCTCGTGTTCACGATAAACTCAGCTGGGTTCCCTGGGAGAATGGGAGGTCAGGCAGAGCCCACCTAGCCCACTTCCCTGTCCTCAGCCACCCAGCACAGGCTTGTCACCTCCACATTTTTTTTTACCACCAAAGGCTCAGAAGCCAGACCCTAGCAGCTGTATCTGCAGTGAAAGTTGCACACAGACCTACCTGTGACACCACCTTCCAGGCCTGCTCCATAGGCGGACACTAAGCCTGGGTCCCCTCCATGCCCAGGTTCCCCAACTCGGATCTTGAAGGGGCTTCCAGGGATGTGGGTCCCGTTGAACTTGACATCTATCAGGTAGATGCCATTTTCCCGTGGGATGAAGCGTACAGCATACTTATCTGAGGAGTAGAAGGGCATGCTGTGGGCCAGGGGTCCCTTATGTATAAGCAGCAAATGTCTGAGAGGAATAGCCTCAGTCCTAGCTCTATCCATTTTTTTTTTTGATCACCAATGAGAGCCCAGCAGCTCCATGGAGCCCACTCTGCTGCTTCCAGGGCTGTTTTGGGCACCTCTACCCACACCCCATGACACAGACCAGGAGGCTGAAACTTTAGAGATTCCAAGTAGCTCACTGTCGAGGCTCATTTTTACCCTTTACAAGCAAAATGCCTGCCTTGCTGCCTCCTTATGAATGTCACATCACTTGCACATTAAATAGGGCTCAGAGAAGGACAGGAACTCACTTCAGGTCATGCATCTGGGAAGGGACAGGACTAGGCTGTGAAACTAGTGAACAAAACCTATTAAGGCCATGTCCCTGACTATAAGAAACATGCAGCCCTGAAGCTTTTGCATCTTTCCCTCTGGAGACCAGCACTGCCTGCAGAAGGTTTTCCTAGTGGCTGTGACTAGTAAACCTAAGCCCTTGGGGATCTGGGTATCACGGGTTTCTTGGCTGAGAGGGCCCAGGTATTGAAACCTAGTTTTGGCAGTTTACAGAATCTGTACCTTCCTTTTTATTCTCAGCCTGCTTCCAGCCAGCTGGTCATGCCCTGGGGAGGCCTGCTGCCTCTGGTGGGGCCAGGACAGATGGCTGGGCAGGGACAGGGCCTCACCTTGGTCAATCTCTGTGACATAGCATTCCTCCAGGGCTCCCGAGGGGCTGTGCACCTTGGCATCAATCGCCCCCTTGGCCCCGTTCAGGCTGACTGCAAAAGAGGCTGGTTGGTTGACCTTTAGCCCTGACTCCTAGAAGCATAGCAGATGTGGTTAGATGGAGTGGTTGGGAACCAGGGCAGGGGAGGAAAACAGAGCCCCATAAGCAGGAGGCCCACAGGGTTGCACTTACCCACCTGGCGTCCAACTTGGTTTAAAGAGGGAGAGCCACTAATTTATTAAGTCAACAAGCCATAAGCATACTTCACAGTCCCCTGCCCCCCAGACTCATGCTCTGCAATCTCTCTCTCTCTCACACACACACACACACACACACACACACACACACACACACACGGCAGGAAGAGAAAGCAGCCCCACCCTGTGGGAAGCACCCAGCCCTGACAGGCTGTCCCTCTTTAAACCGCAGCCCTGGTGCTCAAGGGGCACAGGCTTCTGTTCAAAGCCTTTAGACCTGAGACACGAGAAAAACTCCACGAGGTGGGCAGGGCACTGCCTGCCAACCCCAAGCGTGGGCTGTACCCGGCCAGAGCAGAGGCCTGGCACCCAGAACTATTCTGGGTAGGTCACTTGACACAAAGCCAAGGCCTGCTCTCTACAGTTGCTCTGGTCTGGCCGGGCCCAGGAGCCCCAGGTGGGCAGTTTCTCTCAGTGCCTCACCTGAAGACTAGAAACAGTAAGGCGGCGGGCGTCACCAGACGGAGAAGCCACAGGCACCACGAAGGGGCTGTCAGGGATGTGCTCCTCGTTGAACTTGACCGAGACCTCATAGTCACCTAAGGAGAGAGCATAAGGCTGAGGTACCACATGACCCCAAGGCCCAGCCCACAGAAGGCACACTGAGAGACCCCAACTTGTCAACCTTCAGACCTGCTGCCTCCCTCAAATAGCTTTGGTGACCCTGGACTTCAAGGTGGAGGATGGGAACCAAGCACAGCTATCTGCAGCCCCCAGGGCCAATACCTGCACTCGGGCCCCATTTCCTCCAACTCCAGCTAGCACTGCCCCCAGTACCTGGCTCCTGAACCACATAGGCCACACCACAGGAACCATCCTTGCGGTCCTCAAAGGAGATTTCAGCCTTGCTGGGACCCTCAACAGCAATGGCCAGGCCCCCAGCGCCAGCTTCTCTGGTCCAAATGCTGAATTCGGCTACGGAAGAGCAGTTATGTCCTCATAGAAGGTTGGTTCCCTGGCCTGAGCCCCTTCCAAGCATGGCCAAAACCAACATGGCTGCTAGTTATTTCCTCTAACCCCACCCCTACCTTGGGTCCACCCAGGAAAACATGAGCTCTGTGGACAAGCATACCTACCTGGCACTCCAGCTTCAGCCCTCTCAAGGCCAGGGCCCCCAGCACGGACCTTGTGGGCTCCCCCTTCACCCAGGGGCCCCACAGTGAACTGGAAGGGGCTCCCGGGCACATGTTGGCCCTTGTACTTGACACTGACTGTGTGCATGCCCATCTCAGCAGGCACAAATCGAATACAGTAGGTATGGTTTTCTCCTTCCACAATTTCTGCCTCATGGGTCTTGCCAGATGGGCTGGTCACCTGGGCTGTCATGTCTTGGATGCTAATTTCTGCAAGTTGGGGATGGATTGGTGAGCAGGAGCTCTGGGACCCGCCCCTTGTGCTTAGTGCTTAGGAATGCCCAGAACCCTGGGCTCCCTGAATTCCTACCAGGGATCTTCAGACTAAGGTCACAATGACTGCCAACATTGGCCACTGAAGGGGCCCGTCGCCTGCGTGTGATGCTTTCTTTCACCCGGCCTTCACCTGTCACCTTCACAGAGAAGGGGCTGCCTGCAGAAGAAAATACAACCCATGTCCCATACAGGTTACATGCTGAAAGTAGGTTCTAGGGTGTGGTAAGAAGGGCCACCAAGTGGCAGGGGAGGCATGTGGCTGTTGCACTCACCAGGCACATGCTGGTCAGCAAACTTGATGTTGATGATATAATTGCCAGGCTCCGTGGGGCAGTAGGTGACCCTGCACGTGCCATCCTCCAGGTCCTCTGTGTTGATGTCCACTTTGCTGGGGCCCTCAATGGACAGGCTGAGCCCACCATAGCCTGGTAGATGGACAACCATGAGCCAAAATTCCAAGCACAGCTATACCACCCTAGCTGGCAGGCCAACACTGCCTACCTGCATCCCGAGTGTCTATGATAAACTCTGCAGGTTCAAAAGTATGGCCTTCATGGAGGCCCTGGCCTGAGACCCGCACACGGCTGGCATCCCCGATCTCTGACTGGCTGATCACCACTGGGATGGGGCTGCTTGCCACATGCTGGCCATTCTTCTTCACATGTACCAGGTGCTCTCCTGTCTCCTTGGGGACAAATGAAATCCCTGGACACAGGACAGAGTCGTCAACCAGGAAAGGTATGGGCCCACCGCCTCCCTCCTTTCTAGAAACACCGGGCTCCTTCTCAGCCTCTTACCCACGTGGCCATTACGCAACCGCTTCAGCAGACAGGGTTCCTCTCTGCCTGAGGGTGGTACCACAGTGGCTGTCAACAGGCTGAGGTCTGTCTCTGAGATGTTGATGGGGATGTCGGCTGCAGAGCCTACCTTCAGATGGGACATCCGCATGGAGTCATCACCTGGTGGGAGGGCAGGACATTTATCACTTTGCGTCCAACCACAGGACATGGTGCCAACCCTGCTGTCTGCCTTTGTCACTGCTCACTGTGCCACCTACCTGTGACCCTGGCAGTGAAGGGGCTGCCTGGAATGTGCTGCTCATTGTACTTGACTAGGATGCTATAGTCACCAGGCAGTACAGGTAGATAGGAAACACTACATGTGCCATCCTGGTTGTCAGTGCAGCTGATTTCTGCTTTGGATGGACCCTCGATGGCCAGCGACAAGCCTCCTGGAGAGAGTTAAGGGTTGAGGGTAAGAACTGTCCCTGCTGGATCTGGAGACCTAGCAGTCAAGCAAAGGCCAGGGACACAATCTTGTGTCCAGCCTCCAACCAAGTGAGGACACCTCAGGCACAGAGTAGGTCAGGCCTAGAGCTGCTGCTCACCCTCTCCTGCATCCTTGGTGTTGACAGTGAAGGTGGCAGGCTTGTTGACCACTCCGTGGGTGAGACCAGGACCATAGGCAGTGACGTGGCCACAGTTGACATAATCCACATAGAACTGCAGGGGGCTTCCTGAGGCAAGAATTGGAGGCACCATGGAATATCAGCCTTGTGACCCCTTCCACTCCCATCTCTGTGAGATGGTGGCAGCAGTGGCATCATGTGGGGTGGGCAGGGGTAGGCTGGGCACACCTGGGATATGCATATTGTCATAGCGGATGTCCATCTCATGCAGGCCAGCTTCACTGGGCGCATAGCGCACAGTCACAGTGCCATCCTTATTGTCAGTGATGGAGGGCTGTGCCACCTTGCCTGAAGGCATCCGAACCTCCCCTGCAGGGCAGCAGGTCTGGGGTCAGGGCAGCCATTGGCACACCCTGGCCTCCTTGGCTTCCAAGCTCCTTCCCAGCCCCTGCTCACCAGTGATCTCGCCCTTCTTGATGGTGAAAGGGATGACAAGGTCAAAGGGCCTCAGGCTGGTCACATCCAGCCCGTTGACACCCACTAGGGGCCTCTCTGGGGTCTGCAGTGGAGACAGAGGGCTTGGGTGAGGGGCTGAGGAAAGATCTAGGGTCCTTTCCCACATGAGGTAGAACAAGGCCTCACAGGAACACTCAGATAGCCAGTGCCAAAAAGAGGTGGGTCAGGCCTTACCCAGGTCTGCTGGCCACCTTGGGCATAGGTGTACTGTGGAGCCAGCTGCTGAGGCCGTAATGGGGCCTGTGCCGTTGGCTGGTCCCCAGCCAGAGCCTGCAGGGCAAAGCAAGAACTGGAGACTCACCACAAAGGGAACTCCTGGAGGGGCAGGCTAGGATCTGCCCAGAAATCCCCGCCCACCCATCCTTGGCCTTTTCTCACTGTCACTTGGAAGGGGCTGTTGGGTACGTGCTCGCCGCCAAAGCGCACACAGATGACATATTTGCCCGGCTGTGGGGCTGTGTAGAAGATGTCGAAAGTGCCATCCTCATTCTCCACCACATCCACGTCTACCTCCGAGCCATCAGGGGTGCACACGGTGCAGGTCACCTTGCCTTTGCCTGCTGCTTTCGTATCCACTGTGATCACTGTCTCCTCTCCAATCTGGATGGTGGGGCCGATGCCAGCACCTGGTAGGGCAGGGTAGGTCCCCAAAGCGGGGCCAGTGGGTGAGCCTGGTACTCAAACTGCTCCCATCAGCCTGAAGCCTGTCCAGGCCTATAACTGCCACCACCAAGCACAGCCAGGCCTCCTACCCGACCCTGTCCCCCAAGCTGGGATGGCGAGTGGTTTCTCAGAAGGCAGGAAGGAGTCTCCTAACCACCTCAAGCTCAAGTCCCACATGGGAGAGGCCCAATGAATGGCACCCAGGTGCCAGAAGGAAAAGAAAGAGCCCATCCTGGCACAAGAACTTAATGCCACCTCCCCTGCTAACAGCCTCACCCAGTACCATGACCCACGCTGCCTAACACCAGCACTCTGGCTGAGCCCATGGCTGCCTGTTCCCCTGTGGCCTTGCCCTGGGCCCCAATGCAGTGTATGGATGCAGTGAGGCAGAGTCCTGCTGCGGTGTGGGGAATGTGACACTTGTCTCGCTATCCCCCCAGGCCTGAAGGTGAAACTGGAGTTTCCTGACAACTGAGAACGCTCGCTTAACCAGAGGCTCGTGGTAAGAGGCAGCCCAGCACAGCGCAGCCCGGCGCAGGCGGGAGCAAGGAGCAGGGTGGCAGCAGGGTTAGCATCTGAGCAGCATAACACAGCAGGCTTGGCAGAGCAATGGCAGCACCCAGGGGACAGGGGACAGGAGGTCCAAGCCACAGGTATCACTGCTGGGTTGCAAGAGCAGAGCGGCTGAGCAGCCTCTAGGGCCCCATAGTGCCCGAGGAAAGGGGAGGGACAGTGACGTTATGATCTGGAGCTCAGCTGTGGAGGCTCAGGAGGCTGTGGGCTGTGTGGCCTGGCAGCAAGAGCAACCCTGCAGCCCGGCCTCCCGCCAGGAAAGCAGCTGGGAGCACCAAACCTGCTTGAGTTCAAGGGGCCCCCTGGCCAGCCTGCCACCATATCCCCCTTCAGCCAAGGGCTCCCACTACACTAGGCTCTGTGCTGGCCTTCCACAGCTCTCCTGACTCTAGACCTGCCATGCATGCTGCCTTGTGAGGCCTCACTCATGCCTGCCCAACAACATCTACCTAGTGGGTTGGGACCCATCCTGATCACTTCCCCTGACTTCCCATTTCCCCACCCAGCCCCAGGCCATCAGCAGGTCTTAGTCACACCATCCTCAAAGTATACTTCCTAACTGGGTTTCCACCTAAAGCCCCACATTCACCGATCTGACCCAAGTCAACCCTCTGGCTTGTCTGAAAGCGACTTAAACCCTCTAGTGGGGCTCCCTGCCTCCATTCCACACACACAGTGGCCTGAGAAACAAGGCCACTCTGAGTCTTGCCCTTTACCAGTGGCCAAGGCCCCGAGATCAGGCTTTTCCCAATGCTCAGCTTCTGCTGCCCCTCTGCCCCCGACACACCTTCACTTCAGATCCTGTAGCCTGTTCTACAAAGTTATCTAGCCCCTGCCACAAAACCCTATCCACCCCTCTAACTCTCCCTGGACACCTGCCCGAGTGCCAGGCCTGCAGCCTTCAGAGACCCTTTTGAGTAGCTGCAGCCTATTATCAGCACCTCTGGGTTGTCCCTGGCTGGGCAGGCAAACCCTATGCCTAGCTGGGGACTATTTGAATAACGTCACTGCTCAAGGGATAGAGAAGGAGGGAAAGAGAAAGATGGGCCAGAGTGCACTTTGGGGCTCTGAGGCTGGGCTGGGCCCTGCCATGCTGGCCGCCCAAGCAGTCGACACTGGCGCTACTGCACTACCAGCCAGCCCCACCCGCTCATGCACCTCCCCCGGCCTGGGACGCAGAGGCCCCTGGGAGGTGGGGATGGAGGTCTGTGGATCTGATCAGGGCTAAAGACTCCCAGCGAGTGGGGGAGGCCCCTGTCCCCTTAGCCCATGCAGGAGCCCCTGTGAGAAGGAAGCACCCGCTGCCCATCACCGGGTGCTTCCTGGGGGTGCCAAGATCCCCAGACCCCAAAGTCCCCAGTGGGATGCCTCTCAGGATACACCTCACCCCAAAGCTCTCAGCTGCAACCCGAGTTCTCAGATGGAGAAATGGAAGCCCAGAGAGGGGAAGAGCTGGAGTGTTCATGCTCAGCTCCTGAAACCTCCCTGGGCCCTAACCCTCCAGCCCACGGCCTTATCTTGTTGCAGCCTCCCCACTCTGTCTCTGCCTAGAGCTGCAGCTGGAACTGTCCTGGAAATTAGCAATGAAGAGGAAAGGAAGCTGCCCCTCTGGGCAGGAGGGGCATTGGCCCCAGCAAGCAGCTTACCTAGCCCGTGACCTCCGATTGACACTGAGGTGAGAGGGCAGAGAGCAAGGAGAAAGGTCAGGTGAGTCACTCAAGGGGGCGGCCCCCACTCCCACACGCCGCCCAAGCAGCGAGCCCTTGCACACAGGCACACCCAAGCCCCGTGCCGAGCGCCGCAGTGGCCACTGGTGGGTTAGCTCACCTGTGACCGTGCACTTGCTGGCATCCCCAGTGGGCACGGCCCGGACACGGTATGGGGAGAAAGGGATCTCATCACCACCATACTTGATGAGGATTGTGTAGCGGCCTGTCACATCTGGCACATAGGCCACTGTGTATGTGCCATCATGGTTGTCTTGGATATGTGTCTTCTTGGGCTTGCCTTCAGGGTCCTGTGTAGCGGAGCACAGGCAAGGAGGTTGGATGAAGCTTAGCTAGGCCCAGCCGTGCCTCAGGCCTTCCTCAAGGAGCACCAAGCACGCTGCTACAGGGACAGCCTCTGGCCCCTCATTCACCCAAGTCCCAAAGGTCTGCCTGCATCTGACATTGTCCCTTACTTCTGCCATGAGCAGAGTCCAGAATGGAATCACCAAAACATCCAGCATTCCCTGACAATTAGGCAAAGCCAACCTTGGCTGCAGAGCCTACCCTAGCACTAGGAGGATCTTGCATGGACGATCTCAGGGTCATATTCTTACACCTGCCCTATGAGAATATTCCAGACTTGGGGCTGAAGCATTAAAGGCTCTGGTCCTGTGCTCAAAGTCAGTAGTGAGAGATTGTGTTCAGGCAAGCCTATTCCTGTCACCACAATCCTGAGCTAGTCACAGCCTTAGTAAACCAGAAGCAGGGGGCTAGCCCTTCCCTGTTTTCCTGGTGAAGCTCCCTAGAGAGACTAGAGACCTGTCCTGGCCTGTCTGCCCCACCTGCAGCCCCCCAGTCCAGTCACCCAGGCCTGGCCCCCTTGCTTCTCTTGCCTATGGCTGGAGCTGCAATGCAGCTTGGGAAGCTGATGAACTCACTGTGATCTGGACAGCCAGTAGACCCTCTCCAGCATCCTTTGCATCAATGGTGAACTCTACAGGCAGGCTGGCCGGCACACCAGTGGTATTGAGTCCGGGGCCACTAGCCTTCACTTTGCTGGCATCATGTGTCGGCAGTACTTTAACCTTGAAGGGGCTGTGGAACCAGCATACTGTGAGTGGCCAGACAGTTCTCAGAAGCCAGGCTGCCCCCAGCATAGGCAACAGGCCAGTTCTTACCTCCGGGGCACCTCTTCTTCCCCGTATAGCACTGAGATACTGTAGGGCCCTTCTCGGCTAGGCACATAGTTGACAGTTTGCGTGCCATCAGCATTGTCCACCACGTCCACTGGCTCCACCAGGCCTGGCCCCAGTCCCAGGGACAAAGTCTCAGATGGCTCTCTGGGCCCTGGCCCTCTTACCTGTCCCACTGGATGACTGGGACTCGGCCTCTAGCCTAGACCTTGCCATGTCCTCACATACCCATCCCTGGGAATGGTCCTAAGCCTGCCCTCCCTCTTGCTACATCTATTTAGTACACAAGTCCTATCTGTTCCTTCTCCAGGTTTCTACCTAGCTCTGCTGTCTGAGGCTCTTCTACCAACTGCAAACTGGACCTTCAGGCTCCTTCCCTAAACTTCAAAGAGGTCACTGCCTCCCTGACCTCCTGCTCCCAGGTGCGTAAACCTTTACTCACCTTTAGGCCCCTGTACTTTGACATGAAGCGGGGCAACACCAGCCTTGCTTGTGTCCACCTGGAAGGACTGAGGGAGGTTGGCACGGACCATGCCTGGGCTCAGACCTGGCCCAGAGCACTTGACCTTGGATGCATCTGTCACATCATGCACAGGAACCTTAAAGGGACTACCTGGGATTGGGGCATAGGGATGGCAGCTTCATAAGTCAGAGTAGGCATAATCAGGCAGTCCTAGCCCTGTCCCACTGTAACCTCCTCACCTGGAACTTGGTGGCCACCATAGGTGACATTGAGGCTGTAGGTGCCGGCCTCGTAGGGGATGTACTCTACTGAACAACTGCCATCTTTGTTATCCATGCAGGACATCTTCGCCTCTGAGGGGCCCTCTACAGCCAGGCCCAGGCCACCCGTGCCAGCTCCCCTGGTCCAAACAAATAGCCTGTCATTCCCTGGGGTTCCCAGGCCCATTGGCTACCCACTTGCCTCCCTGGTAGCACATTCACCTGGTCTCCACTGTGAACTTGTTGGGTTTGTTGGTGGTACCACTTTGGATGCCCGGCCCGTGGACACGCACCCTAGAAGGGTCGCAGCCCTCGGTCACAGGTACCTGGAAGGGGCTGCTAGGCACAGGACTGCCATCATAGGTCACGTCAACAGAGTGGAGTCCTAGAGGGCAGGCCAGGTCAGGAAGAGCCCAGGCTGCCCCACCTGCCCTGCCTGCCCAAGAGAGCCCCAGCACATACCCTCCTCGTACGGTGTATATTCTACTTTGTATGTGCCATCACCACAGTCTTGCACATAGGTTTCAGTCAGGTTGCCAGAGGGGTTGGCTACACGGGCCTTGACATGTGGCCCTCCAGTCTGTGTCAGAGCCCGGGCATCCACGCTGAACTCAGTGGTAGCCTCTCGGAAGACTCCTGGAGAGGGACGCAATGAAGCCAGGGTTACAGGGACCCTGGCCCCCCCAAACTCCCCCATGTACCCTAGAGCAGGCCTCCTTACCTTGGCCCTCAATCCCAGGCCCATAGCATTGGACGCCTGAGGTGTCTACAGCAGGCTCCACCTGAAGCTTGCTGGGGAAGTTGGGCACGGGCTGGCCACCGTACTTAATGGTGACAGTGTAGGCCCCAGGGCAGAGAGGTATGTAGGTGATGGTGTGTGTGCCATCACCGTGGTCCTGGATGTACACTTCAGCTGGCAGCCCTGCCTCAGAGCAGATCTCAATGGTCAACTCTGCACTGCCTGCACTTGAGCAGTCCACTTGGAACTGGCCCACCTCTCCAGCAGTGGCCCGCTCCAGCCCAGGGCCTGAGCACTTGACCTTGGATGCATCAAAACAGGGAACCACGTGGGCCTTGAATGGGGAGCCAGGGATGTGGGTGTCGGCAAAAAGGATGTTGATGTTGTAGTCCCCAGGCTCGGTGGGCACGTAGGATACAGAACATGTGCCATCCCCATTGTCCAGGCACTCAAGCTGCGCCTCGCAGGGGCCTTCCACTGTTAGGCCCAGGCCACCTGTCCCGGCACCCTTGGTGTCGATGGTGAAGCGGGCAGGGGAGCCTGCACTGCCTCCTTGCAGCCCTGGCCCAAAAGCCTTCACCTAAGGGAAGAGCAGGTTGGAAGCTGAGGCTGCACCACCACCAGCAAACTTCCTTTTGCCCTGGTTTTCCTCCCCTACCAAACAAGAACACGAGCAGGTTGCCTACAGCTATGCCACCATTCTCCATTATAAGGGCAAGACTGGAGAAGATGGAGTGGCCCCCTGGGACCCTCAGAAAGCACAGTGGGCTCCACCCTTAGAGCCTCCCAATCCCAATTACCTTGCTAGGTTTGGTGGGGGCCATGGCTTCCAGAGGAAAAGGGCTGCCAGGCACAGGCACACCATCATAGGTCACCTCTACCTCATAGGGCCCCTCCTCACGGGGCACAAAGCGCACCACACTATTGTCGGCCCCCAGGCCTGGCTCCACCTTGCAGGGCACCACTGCACCCGAGGGGCCCACGATCTTGGAGGCCACTTTGCCTTGACCACCTGCACCCTTTGACTTGACTGTGAACTCCTGATCTTTGCCAACATCCACTTCTGTTGAGATAAGAAAGGAGAGAAAGAGAACCATGGCACCTAGCTTAGGTAGGCCCTGGGTGCTCTTCAGTGACTACAGAAAGTACTCAACTACTCACTCTCTCCTAGGCCAGACACCTTGATCTTGCTGAGGTCCAGGCTTGGAGACACCCCAACTGAGAAAGGACTCTTGGGGATGGGATCCCCTCCATAAGTGACATTGACACCTACTGGGCCCTGAGAGGGGTACAGAAGGGCAACAATCATCAGTCAATACCCTGGTCTCCTTGCCTGCAAGTGCCCTGCTTGGGAAGTGGGCTTCAGACACTGGCTTTACTCCCCAGCTCCCTTCCCAGGTGAGAAATCAGACTTGATGGGAAGCCCCTTGGAGCAGCCCACCTAGCCCACCCCTTACAAGGAAGCCCACAGACTAGATGACTGTAGTGGAGGGGTGTGGCTACAGGGGGTCAAGATGGCTACCTGCTGCACAGGAGTGTACTTGACTGTGTAGGTGTTGTCATGGTGATCAATGATGTCCAGATCTCGCACCACATCCCCTTTAGCCAGACCTGAGAACTGGACGTCCAGCTTGCCTTTGCCAGCAGCTTTGGTGTTGACGGTGAAATGTGTGGGCTTGCCAAGCTCAATGCCTAAGGAGATGAAACAACCATATACAGGGGCACCTTGCTCTGAGCACCCCCACACCCTTGATGTCTCCTAACTTCCCAGAGTATTCATCTTTACCAGTGCGATTGAGGCCAGGGCCCTCTGCCTTCACCTTGCTGGCATCATGGGAGGGCTCCACCTTAACCCGGATGGGGCTGGTGGGTGTTGCCTGTAGGTGGTAGGGGAAGGGTTGAGAAGAGCAATACCTCAACAACCAGCAGTCTAGGGGCCAGAAGCAGTAGACCAACCTGGTCAGCAAAAAGGACCATGATGGTATAACTGCCAGCTCCACGGGGTGTGTACTTGACCGTGAAAGTATCATTGTCATTGCGGATGATGTCGAAGTCGATGTCGGCCTCAGCAGGGCCCACCACACCAGGAGCACACTTGATGCCAATGCTGACATCGCCTGTCGTGGTGGGAATCAGCAGAAGCTGGGATTTTGTGGGGATATTCCACCCACCAGTCTTCCCGCCCAGGGCCAGGCCTTACCCTGGCCAGCCTCTGTGCAGTCCACAGTGAAATAGGTGGGCTCATGTGCCTTGAGCCCTGTCTTGGCCACACCTGGGCCATACACCTTGACCTTGTTTGGATGGCTTCCAGCTCCCACATTCACCTGTAGAGTACAGGGACAAGTGCAGGACATGACCAGCCTGGGGAGGCAGAGGCTCCCTCAGCTACTGGTGTAAGATAAGCAAAATGGTGCAGCCGCCTTGGGGAAAGTCTGACAGTTCTTCAAAAGATTAAACAGAGATCATATGACACCACAGCTCTACTCCTTACATAGCTACCCAAGAAAAACAAAAACCTAGATCCTCCAAACTCATTTTACGTGAATGTTCCTAGCAGTGCTATATACAATAGCCCCAAAGTAAACACATCCCAAAGGTCCATCACATAAATAGACAGTCACAATGTGGTCCATCCATACCATGAAATATTTGATCATAAAAAGGAATGAGGCATGGGCTGGGGTTGTGACTCAGTGGTAGAGTGCTTGCCTTGCATGTGTGAGGCACTGGGTTCAATACTCAGCACCACATAAAAATAAATAAACCAAATAAAGATATTGTGCCCAGGTATAACTAAAAAATATTTTAAAAAAAAAGGAATGAAGCACTGACACATGCTCAATGTGGATGAAACTTAACAGGATATGCAGTGCAGAAGCCAAACACAAAAAGTCACATAGTATATGATTCCATTTATATAAAAGGCCCAGAAGCAGCAAATTCATACAGTGGGAGAGCAGGTTAGTGGTTGCCAGGACCTGGGGGAGGGGAGAGGTGGGAGGGTGAGTTTCATTGGGCATGATGAAAATCGTCCTAAACTTAGATTGTGGTAATGATTGCGCAACTCAGTGAATGTACTAGTACTGAGCTGTCCATTTTAAATGAGCTCACCCGGAAGGGGCTGTTGGGGATGCTGACACCTCCCCAGGACACCATGGCTGTGTGCTTCACTGGCTTCCTTGGCACATAAGAGCAGCTGTAAGTTCCATTGCCGTTGTCTTTGACTGATGCCTCTACAGGACAGCCCTCATTATCCTGCAAGGTTGGTAAAAGCAGGCAGCCTGCTGGTCAGTGCTCAGGCTTAGGTGCCTGCCTACCCTGCCCAAACGCAAAGGGCATCGCACCTGGACTTGGACCCGGAGAGGGGCCTTCCCGCCATGTTTAGCATCTACTGTGAACTCTGCTGGTTTGTTGACAGCTACACCAGTCTTCTCCAAGCCAGGCCCACGTGCCTTCACCTGGTAAGAGAACACCCAAGTTTCAGGGAACCAAGTCAAGGCCACCAAACCACAAGCCAGGCATGGCAGCTGGGGATAGCGTGCCAGGAGCATGGTGTTGGATATACCAGTTTAGGACCTGGGCTCAGGACCCCAGCCTGGTTGACAAAACAGGGATGTGCCCACCCCCAGTGGGCTTCCTAAGCAAAGGCAGGAGAGACTCAGGCCAGTGCTGCACGCCCTTTACCCTGTCTGGGTGAAAGTCCTGGGGTGCATCACGGATGTCAGCCATGAAGGGACTGAGGCGGATGTCCTCGCTGTTACACAGCACGTGCACAGCATACTCGCCAGCCTCTTGGGGCCAGTAGCGCACATCACAGGAGCCATCACCTTTGTCATCACATTCAATCTTGGCCTGTGATGGACCTTCCACGGAGAAACCTGACAACAACCATCAGTCCCATTGATGTCCTGGAGACTCAGGGTGGGCTGCCCTTGCCATCCTCCACCCACAGGGGCCCACACTGAAGCCTCCAACTTACCCAGGGTGCCCACGTCGTCCCCAATTGCCTCTACCACGAAGTCTGCTGACTTGCCAACGACACCGCCCTCTAGCCCAGGACCCCAGGCCCGCACCTTCTGATTGCCACATTCAGTGCCCACCTTCACCTCGAAGGGACTGCAAATGGGAGAGCCACTTAGGGGAGCACTGAGAGGCACCATCCTACAGAAGAGCCATCCCATGTCCAGCAACGTGGGCTAGGCAAGAAGACCAGTTTGGTCCCCCATTGTCAGACAGTGAGACAGAAGACTTAGAAAATTCTGGTTGGTGGGGAAGAGTGCCTGGGAGCCTCACCTGCGCCCAATGTTCTGGCCACCCCATGTGATGGTGACAGTGTAGGTGCCAGGGGCTGTGGGGTAATACTCAAAGCCATAAACGCCATCCCCTAGGTCCTTCTGCTTCACACGTTCCTCTCCCTCTGCCAAGATAAGGAGGGCCTCAGGACTGCCTAGCAGTGACCCTGAAGGCTACTGCCACCCATCCCAACCTCAACCAACTTACTGGGGCCCTTCACAGTGACCTTCAGCTCCCCGCTGCCAGCACCCTTCGTGTATACCTTGAAGTCAGCTGTCTCCTTCACCCGCACACCCTTAGGCTGGAGGCCTCGGCCAACAGCCCGACAGGCAGCTGGATTACAGGCTGTGGGTAGAGGAACTGGCTGAGCTGCTGGGAGCTAGAGCGGGGTGTCCCCTTACCCGCCCCAGCCTCCCACAGGACCAGGCTATTGGGATTGGAGGGTCCCTAAAAGCTTGGCCCAACAGGCTAGTGAGGCACATGCAAGTAAGAACTGGAAGGGGTTGTGACCCCAGGACCTGTGTACCAAACCAAGACATGACAGGCTTCCTCCCACCTGCTGACCCCAGCCCACAGACATCCACCCAACCCTCCCCTCCAAGAGGAAGATGGATCTAAGTACCGTTGACCCTGTGGGCAGAGCAGAGAGCAGCAGGTTTCTAGACAGCTGGAGCGAGCTCTTCCGAAGGTAAAAGCATGGAGAGGAGAGACGGAGAAGGGCAAGAAGAAGAGGAGGAGGAAGGAGGGCCCCAGCAAGGGAGGAAAGACAGCACGTGCCCAGATAGTGGAAGCTCAGAGACTAGGGGTGCCCAGGCAGGGGCTGGAGAGGGACTGCACCAAAGGGCTCCCCCTCCCACACGAGGCCCAGGCAGCAACACCACAGTGGGGGCAGGGGGTGGCCAGGGCTGGGCCTACCTTGACCAACAGTGACAGTGTAGGGGCTGCGAGGGATGGGTACTCCGGCAAAGGTGATGTGCACTGTGTGGACGCCCTCCATGGTCGGTTGGTAGCTGCAGCGGTACGTGCTATCACCCCGGGCCTCCAGCTGAGGCTCCACTGTGCCTTTCTGTCCTGCAGGGTCCTGGATCACAACCTCCACCTCACCCGTGCCAGCTCCTGTCACAAGGCATAGGCTTAGGTCCCAGGCTCCAGCACAGCTCTCCTCTCAGGCTGCCTGGGCTTCAATAGCCTTCCCTCACCTGCCGTAAAGATCTCAAAGTAGGTGGTCTTGTTGGCGATGTTGCCACTGGGCTCCAGGCCAGGGCCCTGGGCAGTCACTTTGCTGGCATCACCTTGTGACTTGTCCACATACACCTCAAAGGGGCTCTTGGCAATATGCTGGCCAGCAAAGAGCACAGTCACCTATTCCCAGGAGGAGTGAGCCATGAGGGCAGGGACAGGAACCTCTAGTCACTGCCCATGGCCACCACTCTCCCTGCCAGCTGAAAGCTCACCTTATGAGTCCCTGTCACTTTGGGGATATACCACACAGAGAAGGTACGGTTCTTGTCATTATTGGCAGTCACCTTTGCCTGCAGTAGGAAGGAGTCCCCCCATGAGCCTTTGTTAAGAGCAGCCCCTCCAGAAGGGAGCACAGCAGGGCCCTCCCCTACTAGTATAACCCTACTTCTTCCTGGTGTCCAGCAGGGTCTTCCACATACACCAACACCTCTCCCTGGCCAGCACTCCGGGTCTCCACAGTGAACTCTGCCCGCTTCTTCACCATGTTGCCTGTGGGCTCAATGCCTGTCAGAGAAAGGTGAGCAAGTCACAGGCAAGCTACAAGAGCCACAGCCTTATGTCTTTACCCCCTGTCCCCTATCCAATGCTAAGGCAGGCAAGCTGAGCCTCTAGCCCTTCAGGAGTATCAGGAACACAGTGTTAGAGCCCTGATCCCTCTGCAGGCTCAGTGCCCCTCCCTGCCAGCCTGCGAGTCAGGCACGTTCCAAACTGGGCAAGTTTGTTCAGCATAAACCCAGCACAATGAGTCTGGCCTCAGGACCCAGCCATGCTCTTGCTGCAGAGGCAGGCCCATGCCTGTTTTCTGGAAGGCTCAGGTTTGCTGCACCAGTGTGATTGCCCAACTCTTTCCCTGGGCTGTGGTTCATCTCCCAATCATAGAGAAGGGGCCCACTGGGTCCTCTCTCCCTGGGGAAGTTTCCCCACAGCCTTGTGTGACTTGAGGAACTTCCTAGCACTCTCTTGTCAGTTGCCTTGTTCTAACCAATCCTGATCCATTCCCATCAGATTTTTTTTTTTTTTTGTACTTGGGATTGAACCCAGGGGTGCTTAACCATTGAGTCACATCTCCAGCCTTTTTATTTTTTATTTAAAGACAAGGTCTCACTGAGTTGCTTATGGCTTCCCTAAGTTGCTGAGGCTGGCTTTGAACTTGTGATCCTCCTGCCTCAGCCTTCCAAGTCACTGGGATTACAGGAGTGTGCCACCTCACCCAGATAAGAATTTTTTTTTTAAAAAAAAAATGGAACACATCAGAAATGTGCGTGTCATCCTTGTGTTGATCTCCATATCATCTCAATTTTACTATCTCTGCTACCAAAGCAAGCACTCCCATCTGACTTGTTTGAGTGGTACTAGCTGTTACTTCACCCAAAACTCCTTGGGTCCTCCAGGTTCTGACAATATAGTATGTATGGGGAGGATGTTGGTACACCACAACAACCCTAGGCACTCCCCTGGCCAGGATCTCTCACCTGGCCCGTAGGCTCGGGCTTTCTTTGGGTTCAGTTTTGGCCGCAGGGGAGCCCCTGGCTTCAGCTTGGCTTTAGGGAACTGGGACAGGTAAGTCATGACAGAGTGCTCATCCACATTGGGGTCCACAATCTCCTCAGGAGTGATCACCTGTCACAAGCAAAAAACAGGAGCCATTGGAGCACTCCTCACTGCAAACAGGTCCCCCATAGCCTCCAATAGGGCCAGGCAGGGAGCATACCTGAGGGATGCCCAGCCAGTCATCAGCTTGCTGCATGGCCTCTCGTGCGTTGTTGACAGGCTTACTGGCATCCCAGGAGTCCCAGTCAGGACAAAGGCCTGTGACACAATGAAGATTGTACTTTGAGTCGGGGGGAGCTACAGAACTACCTTCCAGATGTCCCACAGACAGCCCGATCCCCCTCACCTGGAGCACAGCTATCGACAAGGGCACCCAGGGCCCGGCCACTCTGCCAGTCCCTACTGAAGTTGGTGATGGGCAGCTGTGGCAGCTTGTTCTGGATCCAGCCTAGGAGCCTCTGCTTGGGTGTCTGCTTTTTGGCTTCCTCATCCTCCTCCTCATCCCACATAGGCATGGAGATAGAGTAGTGCAGAATCAGGGTCCAGATGAGGCCCAAGATCAGCTTCAGGTTTCCATCCACAATGGCCTTGCTGTCTATGGGGTAGAGAAGTGGCAGTACTGGGCAGCTTCCCCATGGCCTTGAGGGAAAGTGCCCTCGGACAAGGAGTCAGGTCACTCCCTGGTGGTAGGGCCAGGGTCTCATAGCACATGGAGGCACAGGGAAGAGGCCCTGTCCCAGCTAGGGATGGGATATCAAGCAAACTTTGTCCAGAGGCTCTCTGTGGTATCAGAGGTGAAGACTTCTGGGGGAGAGGGAAGATACCCATAAACACACAAGGAAAATAGGAGGACATTTCCAGAAACCTCAGGGCCCAGAAGAAGTGCAGAAGACTGTCCCAGCCTGCAGACAGGTCCAGGGAAAGCCTCTCAAAAGGTAACTGGAGGATGATGGAGATGAACACTTTGTAGCTGCCAAGATGGAAACCTGTCCCTATCTCCAAGGATCTCTGGAAACTGGGAGGTGTAGCCCAGCCCTAGCTGGTCTAGAAACCAGGGCCCCTGACCTCAAACTGGGCTGGGGCTGAGGAAGAGGAAGGCTAGGTTGGCAAAGAATGGTTGAGAAATACAATTGCTACCCCAGGGTGGATGGGTGGTGGGTGTGAGGCAGGGGAAGTAGAGGCATTGGGCAAGGACCCTTGGGTGATGGGGTGTGAGCCCCACCCTCTCCACATCCTTGTCCCCTCAGTCACACTAGAAGTCAGGAGGTGGCAGAAGGCTAGAGCACTGCCTTGGGGGAGGTGTCAGGGCTCAAAGGAACCAGGGGTTGGGCCACATGGTCCTGACTCACTAGGGCCCACAGAAATCTTCCGGGGTGACAGAGCAGGAAACATTGTAGAGGTCCCCCTTATCCAGCTGGAGAAGGAGAAGGGTGAGGCTGGGTGAGCCTGGCTCTGCTGCACAGGCCTCTGCTTAGGAGCTTGGGTGGTAGAGGCTTTGGGTGGGGTCCCTGTGTCCTGCTGCCTCAGCAGAACCTGCTCAGCTGCCACCCATCACCCGCCCTACTTGCCACCTAACGGACTCAACTCAAGGACTCAAGCGGGCACCATGCTCACCACAGGGGAAGTGGTTAGGGTAGGCACCCTACACCCCCAACATCACCATGGCAACTGCTCTGGGCCCCACCCAAGGCCACCTCTGGGTCTCAGCCTCCTCAAGGGTGGGTGGCTCTGGGTGGAGCAGGCTTTCTGAGATCTCATCTTTGGAAACCCTACTGGCCTCCCTTATAATCACAGGATACTTATCTAGTGAGTCAACTGTGGGGGTACTGTGAGAAGGGAATGAGCACCATCAAAAGGGCCATCAATGGCAGGTGGCTTGTCAGTCAGGATGAAAGTACCTGCAACACCAGCTGAGCTTCTCAAAGCAGAGTGCCCCCACCCCTGCTGTTCCCAGATGGTCCTGACCCCTCAGAGTTATCTTTTACTGTCCCCAAATTGTAGGAGGAGGGATCAGAGAAAACCAAGGATGCAAGGCGCAGAGTAGTGGGGGACTTCCTGGGTCCAGCACAAGAGCCCTCAGGGGGCTGGAGGCCTTTAGTGGCCTCCAACAGGAAGGGCAAGGCCAGGCCCACCAGCCCTCACAGATAGGGCCGGACCCTCCCATGGTCCTCATCAAGTGGGCCAATGCCACCCCCTCCCCCTGCCCAGAGGGAGGGAAGGACCAGGGCCCAGGGCTGGGAGACTGCCCGGTTAAATGGCCCCGCCCCATCCCACCCCCTTTCCCCAGCCCCGGGGCCAGCCGGCCCCCTCCCTCCCCTAATCACTGCTGCTTTCCAACATTTTTTTGCCTTATATGGCAAAGCTCTGGGAACTAGGCCTGCTCCAGCCAGCTCACAAGAAGGAGGGGAGAAGGGAGGAGGGAGGAGACCCCCCCCAAAGAGCTGGGGTGTGGCTTGCCTCCCCACATCCGGTTGCCCCCGCCCCCCAGGACTCAGAAATGACTCAGCTTGGCTAGACTGAGGCTGGAACTGGGGGGTGGGCCTCCCAATGTGGAATGGCATTCCAAAGAAAGAAGTTCAGCTCTGGGGACCTGCCCCTGAGTGGTCAGGAGAACCAAGTTGTGGTACCTCAATTTCTTGGGCTCAGCATTACCATTCTTGGGCCATAAAGACAACTGGAAGCCCTCTTTCATTCTTGAAGAAAAGAAGGTTCATCTCCCTTCTACTCTCCCTGTTCTACATTTCCTCAAGTCACCAGTTCTGTTGCCTCTCATTGAGCAACTCCTATTATGAGAAAGACCTGAGATGCTTCAGTAGGCCTGGCCAATGCCAGTCTCTCCAGTCCAATGACATGGACACTGTGCTGGTAGTGAGCCTACTGCACACTGGAACAACTTTTAACCAACTCCTGTATTCTAGATGCAGAAAACCAAGGCTGACATAGAAGCAAGTGTTACCAATGATGAACAGTAAAGTTAGTGACTACAAGCCAGGTCTCTTCACTTAACCACACCCAACTCACTTTGGGTGCAGTCTTGCTAGTCATGCTTCTCTCTGGTCCCCAAGCTCCCTGGGGGAGATATAACAGGGGGATTGAAACCACTTTCAATGAGGAGGGGTCGTCTTTCAGGGACAGAAGCCAGGAAAGCCCTAGACAATAGGACCAACAAGCTCCAATTCCTACTTTAGAACCACAGAGGCACCTGAAAGCCAGAGGGCCCTTTCTAAACTGCTGTAGGGGGTGAGCCTGGATCTCCCCCTCCTCGGGGATGGGGCATGTCCTCAGGGACAGGAGCCGGGTCAGTGACCGCCCCCCCAGGCCCAGTACCAGCGCGGGAGCAGCAGTGGGGGCGCGGCCTGTGGAGGATGTGAGCTCAGCCTGGGCGCGGGCCAGCGGGGGCGCGTAGCGGTTCGCACGCTCAGCGGGCCAGCCCGCGCCTTTGTTCTTGAGGCCCGCGCTTAAAGGGATGGCCCAGAGGCCCAAGGGACTGTGCGACGGCCGCGAGGGAAACTAGGAGGGGTCAGCCCAGGGGGGATGGGTGGACGCTCAGAGCACCCGCCCTCACCCACGCGGCGCCAGGGAGCAGCCCGCGAGCTCACCGATGGACACTAGCTTGATGCTCTCTCGATCCAGGAACTCGAGCGCCACCGATACGTTTTCGAGCTGCATCTGGCGGAAGGTGGGTCGCTGGTTGTGCTTGCGGTGCATCTTCTTCTGGCTGAGTACTTCAAGCAGTGCGATGAGCCTCAGTCCGTCACTCAGGTCTGTCTGCAGGTTGGCGATGCGCTTGCTCACGCACTTGAGGTGTTCGTTGCACCAGCGAGTGAATGTGTTCTGTTGGATCTTCTTCCATGGTGCGTCCTCCGCTAAATCCTTCTCGGTGGCTGGCATCTCGGCGTCCCGCGTATCGGCACCGCCGCCCGGAGCCGCGCCCGATGCGCTCTGGCCGGATCGGGAGTGGGAGCTACTCATTTTGAGGCGCGAGGAGCTGGGGGGGCGGTGCTGAAGCCTCTGCGAGGGGACGGCCCTTTAATTAAAGTTGCAGGCACTTATGCGCGTGAGAGGCGAGGCAGAGAACAGAGGTTGTGCTGCGGAGAGAGCGAGCCCTTTAAATGCGGGTAGAAGGCGGAGCCTGAGGTGGGGCTTCCGTGGGGCGGTTACTCTGGGTGGAGCTTCGGAGCCGCGCCCGCCCCGCCCGTCGGAATGCCCCCATGAAGCCCCCCACTGCAGCCGTAATGACCCGAATCCCCGCTCTTAGGGCCCAGAAGGGGGCCAGGAGGCTCCCAGGCCCCGCTGCCTCTGCGCTAGCGCTTCAGGAAACACACCCTGGAGGGACAAAAGGCTTATGAGTATCTGGCGCTTGGATGACCGCTAGGATCCAGCCGACACGCCCTTACAAGGGACTTTCCTTCCTCAAGGCCCCTACGGGGGTTGGGGTGGAGAGGATGGGGTCCCTGAGTCACTTAGGTTCCACCCCTTCCCCGCACCCCGCCACTCTCTGTCACCCCCACCCCGGGCTGCAGGGCTTAGGGTCACCCGGCCGCACCCTGCTCAGCAGCAGTGGAAAGTGCCCAACGTTAAGAGTGAGCCCTTCGTGAGCGCCGGGCACGCCTGAGCGCTTCGTGTGAGCAAGGCCAAGAAAGCCGCTGCCTAGCAGGGCCGCGACCCTACGCGGTCCCCTCGCAGATCCCTGGCCCCTGGCGGGCCCTCTCAATCTGCTAGGCCTTCGCCTGCGCACCTGAGCCGGCTGGTTCCCACCACCTCCCTGCCTGCTCTCTCGCTCCACCGCTCTACCCGGGAGGAAATGGGGCACTGGGCCAGGAGGCCACCAGCACTCTAGGAGCAGCAGCCTTCGAAGGGGCCCAGGCGTGCCAATGGGCACGGGCAGAGGGTGCCATGTGATGCGTGCAACAGCATGTTCCCGCCTAACACCACCATAAAGTCCACCTGGGGCCCTGGGGGCAGTTGCCTCTCTTGGTCTAATGGCCCCTGAATTCGGTGTTACCAGGGGTGACCAGGTCACTGGGAGGTGTAGAGGGGGCTTGAGGACAGAGGGCCAGGAAATCAAGGGGAGTGAATAGGGGTTGCCAATTCTTGCTTAGGAGCCTGGGCTGTTTTCCCAGAGTACTATGAGACTATTTATTGAAAGTTAATTTTCTGGTACATATTCCAGAGATGGTACAGAGATCAGCAAAAACACAGAGTAGAAGCACAGGTATAGAAGACACTGCAACCCTCTTCAGTCATGAGATGTCAACCTACCTATGGCTTCTTCTCCAGGGTGGACTCTGTCCCTCCCAGTCCTCTGTGCCTCCCCTCTCCAGAATGTTTCCTTCTTTTTTCCCCAGAAGGTAAATCCTTGTCCATACTGCTGAATTCTAGTAATAATTAATTAATTTATCTTCTGAAGACCAGTGGGAGAAGGAGTCAGTCATCATGTCATGCCCAAATATGGATGACTCTCCTTGGCTTTGGGTGTCTGCATGCCTGTGGAGAGACTGTGATCTCAGTGGGTATCTCCCTTGCCTCCAAGCTTTGAGGCTGCCTGTAACTCCACTGGTTTTCCTACTAGTGGGTGGTAGGGGGCGAAATGGCATTTTTCAGTAGTGAGGCCCACCCCTGCACTCTCCCCTCTCTTGACCCCCATCTTTCATACACAGTGCACAAAATGCACCAGAGTGTCTAAGAGCTGAGGGCTGAGGGGTGGTGACAGAAAGCCCCTAAAAATTCCACCCCAGTGGAAAGGAAATATCCAGAGATGGAATTACATCAATAATTGATTCTCCACTAAGTACCATCCATCTGGGTCATCTGGGGTTCATTCCTTAATCGTCAGAGAATAAGAAAACTGAGTCATAGTTAACTATGGAGTGTGGAGGACATAGGACCACCACCAGATGTCGCCCCATCCTAAAGCCCCCAGATTGGGTAGCCCCAGGAAGCAAAAATTCAGAGCTTTCATATTTTCCCTTATTTGGAGTAGATTCTTGGATGTTAGACATGCCCCGCCCACTTCCCCACCCCTGGCCCACAGACCCCAGGCCAGGCCCTCCCACAAGGAACTATATCCCCAGTGCAAGGGGCTCTTCAGCTGGGATCCCCAAGAAGCCTTTTCTAGGCCTGTGTAGCCAGGGGGCGCCAGGAGGGAAGGAACTAGCAGATTGGTGAGGTGAGAAGACCCAGCTGGCAAGACAAGTCAAGATGTGACAGGTGAGGGCACCCATTTCCTAAGTTCCCACCTTGACTGTGCAGCCTGGAGCACACACAAATGGGCCTGCCAGAGGGTTTCACCTACTTTTCCTGGCCCTGGATGGCATGGGGATCTGGCGTTGTTGCTGCTTACATTCTTACTGGCGATGAATATCCCACTCAAGAGCCAACCTGGGACAGGGTCCAGGGCCCAGACAGGAAATCTAAGAGCCTGGCCAAACCCCACCACAGTCCCCTTGGAGTTCAGCAGCCCCTGAATCAGCTCCCCTGTGCCAAAAGAGGCTGGTACCTTGTGGACTTGTACCAGCAAGGGAATCGCCCCCGTTCCCCTTCAGTGTACTGTGAAATGTCTTTACAGGTAGCCACTCACCTCCCTTGCACACAAGGTCCTGATCTGGGGACCCTTTTTCCAGTCAGGGAGGTAATGATGGGTTCATGGGCACCCACACCTCCACCCATCTCTTGCCAAACGCTCAGAGACCCTCCCTCTCTCACAGAAGCCCTGTGTCCTTGGGCTCCCAGACTATGGGCACAGACATACGTTCGTGGGTAAATTTTGGAAGGCAGACTCTGGATACCCTTCCCAGATGCGTGGGACCTGAGCTCACCTATGCGAGTTGCACCTGCCCAGGATCTGGGCGTGCGCGAGCGCCTGCATTTTCCAGCCTCTCCGCACACTTTCGCCACCCACCCCAGCCCAGGAGCAGCGCTGCGACAGTCCGACGTGAAGCCTTCCACAGAGGACTCACCTGCTGTCCCCTGCCAGCGGCTGACAACCGCAGGGTGGCGCCCGGCTCGCCTTCGCGCCCGTGCCCGGCGCCTCAGGGCTCTACTGGCGTCCGCCGAGCGCCGCGCGCCTCCACGCGAATGGGCTGCCGCTGCCCGCCTTCTTGTTGGTCGCATCCCCGCCCCGCGCCCGCCCCGCGCCAGGCCGGCCCAGCCCGGCAAGCAAGCCTTAATTGGTAAAATCACCCAGAAGCCGGGGGCGGTGCGGGGGGCGCGCCATGAGCTCCAGAGCCCTGTTGCGCCTGGCGACGCCCACCCCCCACCCCCCCACCGGGATGAGCTCACCGCCCTGCTAGGGCCGCCAGGCCCTGGGGCCGGGGGGAGGGGGCTCACCTTCAGCGTCCGAAGGGCCTGCAGAGCTCTTCTCTAGGCCCAACTTCAACGAGGCTGGAAGGCTGAGTTTAGGGGGAATCCAAGCACTCCCCTACTGAAAAGGCCCAGCTCCAAGGCCACCTTCTCCAGAGAACCAACCAGTCAAGTCCTCTGTCTCTTCCCTAAACCTTGGCTGGCCACACAAGTCAGATCCTGCCCCCTAGGTGAGGGGCATCAGTAAGTATTCACTGAGCCTCTACCATGCTCCAGGCTCCAGTGTGGTGGACTACAGGGCACTGAGCCCTATGATGAGCAAGCCTCACTGGTTAGGCCCCTGCTGAGTACAGGCCTGACCTAGGAGCAAGCAGCACAGATGCACTGAACTCCTAATTCAATATGGTGCAGTCCCAAAGCCTGGAAGTGTGCAGTGGGGTACAGCCAAAGTGTCTGTGAACCTGGTGGGCACAGCCACACCCTAGCATTGCCAGGCTTCCTCTTCCTCTTCTACATGCCTGTTTCCTGGTAGCTTCAGATTCAGCTAAAATGTCACTTCCTAGGGGGAGGCCACAAAAACAATGTCATTTTGACATTTTGTCTGCAACAATCAATAGGAGCTACATTTTACATTCCTGAGCCAGTATACATACCTTTACACACACTTACACACATGTATGATTGAAACAAACATTTCATAAAATGAGACTTTCCCTTAGTATCTGCAGTGTACTCTATTTTCTATTCTATTTTATGAAAAAAAAATGAAACAAAGGAAGAGAAGAAGGAAAAAATAAAAGAAAGGAAAAAATTTTTAAAAAAAGAAGAAAGAAAAGAGTTTGGTTACATCTGCTAAGTGAATCTGGCAATCTTGTTTCACACAAACAGCAAGGTGCTGGTCGCCTTCCAGGCTTTCCCCATCTGCTGCTGCCTTTACTAGCTGTGCTGTCAATGCCATTTCACACCTTGACTCATTATGGGAGCCTCCCAACAGTGCCAGGTTCTCTAGCTGCTCCCTACATTGGAAGCCCCCACTGGGAAGGCCAGTGGATTAACTTCACTTACTAAACAAGGAGCCTGAGCTCAGGCCCCTGAGGTAGCTGCTGTGGAGTTCAAGGCTGTCCTTCCAGGAGGAAAAACCCACCTATCCAGAGGCATGGCAATCAGAGCCAGGGGTAGAATAGATGGGGGGAGTGCAAAAGAAGTGGTGGCTGTATGGTGAGTCTCAGGACCCCCATTACACTACCCTGTTTATCCTACCCTCCCCACACTGCACATGCTCTAAACACAAGCGGTTCTTTGCCTCAACTTCTTCCAGGTGTTGGGGGCACAAAGGTTCATATAGCACCAACTGTTTCCTGGTGAAGTTCATAATAAACTAAAAACATTTTCTCCTGTGTTGAAGAAATGTTTTCATGTAGACTTTTTTCCCCTATAACTAGAAATCTTCTTGGGATTGCAAGTTATACAACATACTGATTAAAAGTCATTTCTATGCTTAAGAGAAAAATTGTCTGCTTATTTTGACTTAGCATCTGCTGAACCCCAATGTCTACTCTCCATGCCCTTCCTAGGAAGAACTCCCCACAGGCACTTAGAATGCCTTTACATATCCTTCCAGCCTCTTTGATAACTTCTGCCTGAGAGAACTCTGAGACTAGGCCAGGTCAATGCCCAGATGACCATGGGGAAAATACTTCCATGAATGAATTGCTGCATTCAGGGCCCTTGGGCAAGACTCCCCTTACCCCAGGATCCTGATTAATTCTCTTTATGATGGGTGATACAGCCTATTAGCTATGTTGATCAAGGGCTTGCCTGGCTTCTAGTGGTCTGGAATGGAGCTGCACTGCCCTGGGGCTAGACTTAGGCTCCAGGTACCTACAGGGTGGGTACAGGGGGACCATCACAGTTCAGCTTCCTGATGCCATCTGTGGTGGGACCTCATGCTGCGGCAATGGGGGGCATACAAAGCACAGTGCTGAGGCAGGTGTGGGGGGGTGTTCCTTAGGGAAAAAGCAAACCTAGAATTCCTTGACCTCATAAGGAAACAGCTTGAATCTGTATGGGGAGGGTGGCAGGGGGAGGACTGAGCAAGCACTTGTATGCACAGATCTCTGGGAGAGAGGCCAGAACTGCAGAAGAAGGCTTGGAGACTTGCTGGGGAATCTGATTTTGCCAAAACTAAAAAAATCCATGCTGCTGAATGGCCCAGAGCTCACTCTGCCACCCCCCCACCCCCAGTCCCAGCCTCTGCTTTGAAAAAAAAGGAGCAGGCTTGCCAGGCTCGGTGTACACCATGTCTGTAGCCTATAATTCCAGCAGCTCTGGAGACTGAAGCAGGAGGACTTCGAGTTCAAAAAGGCCAGCCCCAGGGCTAGGGTTGTGGCTCAATGGTGGAGCATGTGCCCAGCATGTGTGAAGCACTGGGTTTGATCCTCAGCACCACATAAAAATACATAAATAAAACAAAAGTATTGTGTCCATCTACAACTCAAACAAGAAAAAAAAAAAAAGCCAGCCTCAGCAACTTAGTGAGGACTTAAACAACCTAGCAAGACTGTATCTCAAAATTAAAAAATTAAAAGGGCTGGGGATGTGGCTCAGTGGTTAAGTGCCCCTGGGTTCAGTCCCTAGTACCAAAAAGGAGAGAGAGAGAGAGAGAGAGAGAGAGAGAGAGAGAGAGAGAGAGAGAGAGGAGCTAAGGCTTTCCTATCTCTTAATGCCAGCACAGTGTCTTTGGGAACCCATATACCTCCTCCCACATTGCAGGGGAGAGTAAGGCCTTGTCTTTCCTCTAAAATTAAGAGAAGAGCAATTCTTTTTCCTTAATATCTTTGTGTTTGGTCAAAACAGAGCTTTGTCTCTTCAATACTGCCTGATTGTCCACCTCTACAAACCTCCATGGAAAATTGTCCTTTGACCCTCACCAGCTGGATCAGCCAGCTTGGACATGTCCAAAGCTCTCTTCTCTTCTTCCCCTGTCATCAGGCATCATCTAAGAGACCAGGCATCCTAAGCACCTCATCTCTTCATGCTCCCCCCAGCTCTAGGTCTGCCCAGTGAGAGCACCCTAGATGGCCCCACACTCCATCAACAGGCTTTGTTTAGAATATAACTGTCGCCATCTTTCCATTTTCCAACAGGCAGTTCTTTTCTGATCAAGGCCTTCGCCAACTGTCAGTTTAGGATTCTCAGCAAGTATTGGCAACCTTCCATGGTTTGCCACACCCCTGTGCCCTGCCTGGTCACCACTGCTACCATCGGATTCAGGGGCCATTAGACCAAGAGAGGCAACTGCCCCCAGGGCCCCAGGTGGACTTTATGGTGGTGTTAGGTGGGAACATGCTGTTGCACGCATCACATGGCACCCTCTGCCCGTGCCCATTGGCACGCCTGGGCCCCTTCGAAGGCTGCTGCTCCTAGAGTGCTGGTGGCCTCCTGGCCCAGTGCCCCATTTCCTCCCGGGTAGAGTGGTGGAGCGAGAGAGCAGGCAGGGAGGTGGTGGGAACCAGCCGGCTCAGGTGCGCAGGCGAAGGCCTAGCAGATTGAGAGGGCCCGCCAGGGGCCAGGGATCTGCGAGGGGACCGCGTAGGGTCGCGGCCCTGCTAGGCAGCGGCTTTCTTGGCCTTGCTCACACGAAGCGCTCAGGCGTGCCCGGCGCTCACGAAGGGCTCACTCTTAACGTTGGGCACTTTCCACTGCTGCTGAGCAGGGTGCGGCCGGGTGACCCTAAGCCCTGCAGCAGGGGACGGGGGACACGAGGTGAAGCCCTAGTGACAGGGATGAGAGCTACCATAAATGCTAGAGTTCGCCCACTCCCACATCCCAGCCGGTTTCTGCTGGTTTGGGTAGTGCAAGTCTGCCCCTCTTAAGCGCCTAACCCAAACGCGCCAGCGCGGTACATCTTGGCTGACTGCCAGCTCCTGCACCCCTGCCCCAGGAGCACAGCACCCGCCCTCACAGCTAGGTAGGTGTGGCTCCCTGCATGTCATGCCCTTGAGCTTCTTTGGCTCGCCTTCAGCCCCTGCCCCTCTTCTTGCTCTAGCCAATCCTGCACACTTTTGTGTTGTATCAGCTTGTAAGCTCCGCCCCCAGCGAGACGCTCCGCCCCCAGCGCGACGCCCCGCCGTGCCAACTCCCACAGCCAGACCGGTCTGCACCGGTTGCTCGGGTGGTTTGTCCCCGCCCCTCGCAGCGCGCAGAGCTTGTGAGGCCCGCCGCCGTGACGTGACCGTGACGCAGGCGTGCAGCAAGCGCGGCCGCTCCCGAGGCGCCTGGCGCTGCCCCTGCCCCTGCCCCGCTCCTAGGCAGCGGTTGCTTGGCCTGTGTAGTCAGGCCTGGGCAGCACCTAGGCCTTCACTACTCGTCTTCCGGTGCCGGCCGCGCCCGCCATGGACGACTACGCGGTTTTGTCGGACACCGAGCTGGCCGCAGTACTGCGCCAGTACAACATCCCGCACGGGCCCGTCGTGGGTACGCGGCGGCGGGTGGCGCGCGGGACCTCTCCCGGGACCCCGCGCTCCGCCTGGCGCCCCCACCGACCCCTTCCTTCCCCTCGGGTTCCCTCCCCGCCTTCCTTCACCCCCCCGCGCTCTCCGCATGGCCTTCCCTGGGCTCACGCTCTGCGCCCCGCACTCCTGACCGCTCCACGCCCCGTGTCTGGCCAGGCTCCACTCGAAAGCTCTACGAAAAGAAAATCTTCGAGTATGAGACCCAGAGGCGGAGGCTCTCGCCTCCCAACTCGTCTTCCTCCTCATTCTCCTATCGTTTCTCGGGTGAGATCCTCTGTCTCAGAGCCCTGCTGACTACTCCTGGGGACCGGACTTGGGCAACCGGGAGGACGGGGTCGTGAGACTGTGGCAGGGGCACTAGACTAGAGGGAGAAGGAAGGGAAGCCTGGGGGCAAATGGTCCTGTTCCCTTCTCAATTCAGACTTGGATTCAGCATCCATGGACTCGGATATGTATGATCTGCCCAAGAAAGAGGATGCCTTACTTTACCAAAGCAAGGGTAAGACGGGTGGGGCGAGTGCCTTAACACCTTCACCCCACCCTGTCTAGCACTCCTGAGTAACCCTAGAGGGGAGGAACTGGTGCAGGCCCCCAAATGGGATTCAGATTAGGACCATCCGCACAGGTGGAGGACATCACTGTCTCTTCCAACACTGTTTCCCTTCCCAAGGCTATAATGATGACTACTATGAGGAGAGTTACTTGACCACCAGGACCTACGGAGAACCTGAGTCTCTGGGCACTTCCAAGGGCTTCCTCCAACCAGTAACTTCACTCTCAGATGCTGACACCTTCCACCACCAGGTGAGCTAGTTGTCAAGCACACCTTGGGTGCAGCCTGAGGTGATCATAACTGGGTTTGGACAAATCCAGGAAGCTGATGGGTGCAAATGGGAGCTCCTAATCCTCCAGAGAGGGTTAGGGTCAGGGTCAGCCTACAGCTGTTTGCACATCCCCAGAACAGTACTTTGCACAAACTATTTGATTAGGGCCAGGATGTGTAGTTCAGTGAAGAGCACTTGCTTAAGGTTCCATGCCCAGTACTCCAAATAAACAATAAAATGCATTTCATTAGAGCATATGAGGCATGACCTGCACCCTGGTATGACTCTAGGTTCAAACTTTCTGAGAATCCTAGGGAACAAAGGAGGGCACTGTGGCACAGGCAGCTGGGATAGTCACTAAGTGGCAAGGCCTTGCACAGAAAAGGCAAGGAACCCCCAGTGGTTCTGGAGGAAGCAGGTGTCTGGCTTTGAAGTGATGGTCAGGAACGTTTAGACTAATGGATATGTCAGGGTCAGTCCCTGCCAGCCAGTGCCCTAACCCCAACTCTGTTCTGTAGGTGCGTGATGACAATCTTTTCTCTTCTTCTGAAGAGGAGGGCAAGGATAGGTGAGTACTGGGAAGGTCTAGAGACAGGAGCAGTCTCTAGACCGAGGCTCTCTTGGCCTACCTGCTCCCTTCTTTTGCTACAGGGAACGCCCTGTATATGGCCGGGACAGCACCTACCAGAGCATCGCACACTACCGTCCTGTTTCCAACGTCTCCAGGAGCTCCCTGGGCCTATCCTATTATCCTACAACCTCCACCTCTTCTGTGTCTTCATCTTCTTCTCCCACCCCTTCATGGCTTGCTCGCCGTGCCATCCGACCAGAAAAGCAGGCCCCTGTGGCTGATCTAGGCCAGGATAGACAGGTCCCACTCTGGGGCCAGCTGCTGCTCTTCCTTGTGTTTGCTGCCTTCCTGCTCTTTGTTTACTACTACATGCAGGCCGAGGAAGGCAACCCCTTCTGGATGGATCCCTGAGTCTTGATTTCTAAGCCAGCTCTTCTTGGAAGTCCTGGCTGACTGCCTTAGCAGTGTTTGCTGGGGGTGGGGGTGGGGCTTTTCTGTGTGTTCTAGCTTGGGGGTGTTGGGCCTAGCCCAGGGCAGTGTTTCCCCCCACCCCACCCCCTGCCTCATCCTGCCAGGGAGGCAGCAGACTTGGGCCCTCCACAGCTGATTAGGCCTGGGTGTGCCTTCCTCTGGAGCCTTCTGGCCCTGCTTGCCTCTAATCCTTAGGGCCCAGGAGAGCAAGAGCTCATTCCTCCAGAGGAGAATAAAATTGTTGTCATGCATGCCTCCTGTTCATTGTCACCTTGTCGGGGAGATTATCCAAAGGCTTCCCTGACTTTGTTTTCAGTGGATACATAATAAAAAGACTTGTTTATTTTTAACTTGTTGGTTTTTCCTACTGAGGGAGAAGTTGGGCTCCCATGACATAAGGGCTCTAGAACTTGGGTTTGAAGGATTACTATCTGGCTTTGCCTGTTTGGTTCTGCATTTTTGTTTTGGGGAAGTGATCAAATGCTACCCATAGATATGTACGTTTGTGTTTTGTGGGTTTTATTCCCTCATTACCCAAATCACTTGTAACTACCTATAAAAGTGACAATCATCCAACGAACTACATGAGAACCCACTTGAAATGTGGGTAAAACTGCATGTATAACATTGTCCACAGGTGTTTTCAACAGGAAAAGCTGACACCAGACAACCTCAGCATCTGAGGGCCCAGGGATGGAAAGGTCGGTTGTGGGTCATTCCTCAGCTTCTGAGATTGTTGCTGCTTTAATGACAAGGTGGGGAAGCTCCAAAGACTGCAGTGTTCCGTCATCTGTGGATAATCAAATTCTTCACCTGTCTGTATTCCTACTTAGTTCCCAGGTTTTTTGTCCTTACTGTATATTTTATAATATCAACATTTACTTGTATTTTTATTTACTTTGGTACCAGGGATTGAACTCAGGAGCACTTAAGCACTGAGCCACATCCCCAGCTCTTTATTTTTTGATTCAAGGTCTCACTAAGTTACTGAGGCTGGCTTTGAACTTGTGATCCTCCTGCCTCAGCCTCCTGAACTGCTGGTATTACAGGCATGTGCAACCATGTCCAGCTTACATGTATTTTTGAAAGGTGATAAACCAGGGGTGGTGGCACACGTCTGTAATCCTAGTGGCTCCAGAGGCTGAGGTAGAAGGATCATGAGTTCAAAGCCAGCCTCAGCAATTCAGTGAGACCATCTCTAAATAAATTATAAAAAAGGGCTGGGGATGTGGCTCAGTGGCTAAATGCCCCCAGGTTCAATCCCTGGTACCAAAAAAAAAAAAAAGTTGTTAAAAACTCAGGATAGAATGCAATATCCATGTTATGCCTTGCATGTCTGGCTTCACACTGCTAGCAGAGGGCAGGAAAGAAGAGGCCCAGCCAGGGATGGGGCCCATGCTTCAGTGATCTGCTCCTTTGCTGCAAGTGGTGGGACTCAACCGGGCATAGTAACCATGCAGAGCCTGCACATGCAAGGGCTCATGGCTATGGCCACATGATGAGTTTAGCAGAGCAAATAACCCTCACAGTGGTTCCTGACCATTTCTCATTGCTGCATCATAGACTCCCACAATGTTGTGATCCCAAAAGTAATACATGGTTCTTGTACATTTAAAATGTAAAGGAGCCAGGCATAGTGGCACACACCTATAATCCGAGTGGCTTGGGAGGCCAACACAGGAGAATCACAAGTTCAAAGCCAGCAACAGTGAAGCACTAAGCAACTCAAGTGAGACCCTGTCTCTAAAATACAAAATAGGGCTAGGAATGTGGCTCAGTGGTTGAGTACTCCCAAGTTCAATCCCTGGTACTAAAATAAATAAATAAATACACACACACACACACACACATATTCAAGCACATTGAGAGGAAGAAGTGACTCACTGCTCAGGATTGTTGTGTTGGACTGGAGCCCTGCTGGGGATTGGGTAGAAGCAGGTGAGACCAATGGGAACCTATGTGGAACCTGGGGTAGTGGCAAGGTTGACATCCCCAAACCTTTGAAGAGTTAGCTGTTGTGGAGAGAAGGAACAGCACAAGAGTAACAGGAGCTGGGCCTGGAAAATCCCAAGAATAGGGGAAGAGATATGGAGACTTTGGGGACAAAATGGCCCACTAGGTCTTGAGTACTGAATCTGTTGCAGGTGAGGAGGACAGAGTAGGAGGCTGGGTATAATTGATCACTATGGTGTCTGGCATGTCAGAAGAGAGGGAAGAAAGTAAACGGTGACCACTCATGTGTTATCTCCCCCACTTCATTCATTCATTCTACAAGGGCTGCCAGTTCCATCCGTGTAGTGCCAAGGACCTGAGAAACTAGAGGGCTCCCTAGGGCTCTGGGCCTTCCCCAGGACTCAATGCCAGTCATTGAGTTCCTGAGCTTCATTGGACTTCTGAGGTCTCCCATTTGGGCTTGGCTTCCATTGCCCAGGGCTCTTCAGGGCTCTGGGGTCCCAAACTCTGTAATTGCACCCAATCCTCGGCAAAAGGGTGGAACCCCCAAAGGGTTACCTGAGTGCTCCAGACATCATCCAAGTGCTCTGGGGACCTCAACCCCAATGCTTATGAAGGCTCTGTGAGCTGAGGGAACTAGGGGACTCCACCTAAAACTCTGGATAGTTCTGGGGCACCTCCCCTAAGATCTCTGAGGGGCTACTCCAGGCACATCCCAAAAGTTCCCAAAGATCTTGCAATTTCCCTGCAGGGCTCCTGAAAATTTCAGTGTCTTCACTCATTCCACTGCTCTCCACTTCCATAGGGATCCAGCAGATGTTGGGACACAGAAGGGGACAGCACCTATCCATGGCCTCAGTGAGAGGCTGTGCTAGCTGCTGTCCAGTCTAAACTCTTACCATTTGCTAGCATGTGGGTGCAACCTATGGCAGTGCTGCTTGCCCAGAGAGATATCTTACCTTCATGCTAGCACCTGCTGGGCCAGGAAAGAGTCTTAATAGTTGATGGGGGAGACGGTGACTGGAACAGGAGGATGGGGAAGGATACCTGGGGGAGCACCGAAGCAGGACAAGACCAAAATTGTACTCCTAAGGAGGAACCTCTACCCCAGACACATGGACAAGAACAGGGGATGCAACAGGAAAGGCAAAGATGTCCAAGGTTTGCCTAACTACAAGAAACAACAGAGCCAGAAACAAGCAAGGAAGACGCTTGCTGGGCGAGGCTGACACCAGTGTCCCCTGCATGAGGAGAGTACCAGGGGTCAGAGCCTGTGGCTCTCAATAAAATGAGACACTCCCCAGTGCCAAGGGAACAAAGGGAAGACAACAGCACTTCATTCTTTTATTCATTTCCACCTGGGGTGGGACTGCTCACTAGGCTCCAGTTCACCAGTCCCAAGAAGATACCACCCTAGAGGCTGGCAGGAAACTATTGGATAAAACCAGAACCTCAGCCCAGCCCTGCTACTACTCCTACTGTGATCAATGGCAGGGGTGGGGTAGGGAAGGTATCCCACACTCCAGAAGCCTCTAGAAGCTGCCCAAACGGAGAGGCCAGGGACCAGCAGAACCACGTACAGAGAGATCCATTGCCACCTAGGGGATGAGAGGTCCTCCTCAGGAATGTCCTTCCCCCTCCAGCCCTGGTGTCCCCAGGACACTACACCATGGAGCCACACCAAACCTATTACCTCCTCCCAGCACCGGCACTGACCCCACCTCAAGGAGACAACCCTGCTTTGCATCCTCTCAGGGCCTGAGCCAAGGAACATGCCAAGCTGAGCAGGGCTAAACCAGAACTCCCCAATCTCCCCTCCACATCACTTCTGGAGGGTAAAGACACAGGGCTAAAAGACACAGGGGAAAAGAAGAAAATGCCAAACTAGGTGGCAGGGGCCAAGGGGGTGGAATATGCCCCTGGTGACAGGAGACAGGCCAGTCCAGGCAGTGAGCTAGAAGAGGCCACCAGGGCAAGGAGGCAGGAGGGACACAGACTGGAGACCCGTCCTGGCCAGGGGCCTCCCAGGGGAGGGCAGGTAGATGGGAACCCCCGTGTGCAGGCCCCATCCTGATTGTGAGCCAGCCACACCGAGGAAATCCAGGAGGACCCACTGGGCATGCTAGGAGGAGGCAGGCAGGGCTCAAAGGCCCAGCCACCTTGGGCACAGAGCCCAAGAGGTGGTGGCCCAGCCCCAGCACACCCCTTGTCTGGGCCTGCTGGCAAACAGATGCCAGGAGCAGAAGGGAGCCAGCCCAGAAGAGAGAGTCCCAGGGCCCATTCTCCAGCTGTGACCAGGGCACTAGGTCTCCCTAGGGACAGGAGTGGAGGCCCCTGACTAAAGATGGCTCCAGAGGCCCTGGATACAGGTGCCAAGGGGGCAGGCATGCTGCTCCCAAGAGGTCCCTGGGTTCAATCTAGAGTTGGGGGCCCATGGGGACAGCTGCTGGTGACCCCACAGGTCTGGAGCACAGGCTATGATACTCTAGGGAAGCTCCTCCAGGATCCTTAAGGGGGGCAGGGCAGTAGGGTGAGGAGGCGGCAGCTTTAGGCTAAGTCAGGGTGAGCTGTGCGCATCAGGACGGGGTCTGGCTCTCCCCTCTGCACAGCGGGCTGCTAAGAGCCCGTCCCCCACCCCCTGCAAGGGTGTAGGGCAGCTGGGGTTGGGAAGATGTGGCTCCAACCAGGCTCCCTGAGATCATCCCAGGCAGAGGAATCAAAGCTTCTCCCCGTTTCTCCCTGCAGAGCCGCAAAGGATGGGAAAGCTGGCTCCATTCTCTCAGAGGCTAGAGGGATGGACAGGACAGCAAGTACACAGATGACTCCAGAGTGTGGGTGTGCACAGAGTTGACTCCAGAGTGTGCGTGTGCAGAGCCGACCCCAGAGTGTGCGTGTGCACAGAGCCGAGCGTGTCCTCCTGAGGAGCCCCAGGACCCTTAGCCCGACATCTTGGCTGAGGGGCTGTCCCCATATGCCAAGAACACATCTGCAGGCTGGGGTTACAGCTTAGTGGTAGAGCGCCTGCCTAGCACATGTGAGGCACTGGGTTTGATCCTCAGCACCACATAAAAATAAATTTAAAAACTTATTAAAAAGAAAAGAAAAAAAAAAAGAACACATCCACACAAGAAGGGCCCACCTTGAGGTCCAGATGTGCAAGGCAGCTGGGGAAAGCGCCAGGAGCTGTTTGCCAGGGTCCGGGTGCTGCCCAGCGGTGACAGCCCACAGCAAAAGCACTCACCACCAGGGAAGCTCACTGACAGATTCAGAGCCACCAGGAGCACCATGGAGAAGTCTCCACCGAGTGCAGACCAGGAAGGATGAGGCACCAACGGCCTCCTTCAGGCCAGAGGGAAGTTTCTTCCCTGTGTCTCACCTCATCCCTCAGCGTCCCCACCTCCCAGGCTGCCAACTGCCCCAACTGAGATGCCAGTGCCCAGGACCTGGGCAACGTGAGGCAGTCGCCTAGGAAAGGGACTTTTGTGCCTGCGCCATGACGAGGCACACACCTCTCCACTCCTGGGCACCTGCCCTTCATGGTTCCTTCTGGGGTGGAGGCAGAGGAGAGGCCCAGCCTGCTGCAGAAAAGTCACCCATACCTCATGCAGAGCTTCGCCAGCCCCTGGGTGGGACATTGCAGGTGGCGGGGAGTGTCCAGCCCCCCAGGCTTGGAGGGGATTCCTGGGATGCTGAACAAGTTGCTGTGACAAGAAAGGACCTCCTGAGCCTGTCATCAGGACAAACTGCAGGGACAGGATTTACCCAGCTCGGCGGGCACAAGCTCCATGAGCATGGGCCAGAGAGCACACACAGAAGGTCTGAGGGTCACACACACCAGGCTCTCCAGGGCACATCCTCCTTCCTTGTTGGGGTTGTCTGTGTTTTAATTTGCGATGACTCAAAGATGGGAAAGCCACTCAATCTGGGTCCTGAGGCTGGGCTTACACCTGGGACACATTCCAGAGTTGGACCTGCTTAGGACCTGGAGTGGCACATGCAAGTCCCTGAGCCAAGGTGCCCGCCAGCAGCCACCTTGTGCCTTATAGTGCCAGGTGGGAACAACCTCTTTCCTTGCATACATTCTCCTGTCCTGCACTGATCCTGGTTTGACCTATGAGACCAATTAAAAAACGACAGCAGGGGTGAAGGGCATCAGGGGATGAGGTCCTAAGAAGACTGTGGCTTGGCCTTGGGGTGCTCCCTCCTGCCCTCTCCCTCCCCATCTCTCTGATCCCTGGCTCTGCGAAAGCTCTGGCCTGAGCAGCCCTAGGGAGAGGCCCTGCAGGGAGGCATTAAAGGCCCCCTGCTAACCCCAGCTGACAGCACCTCCATGCCACCACCACCACCACCACCACCAAGACCCACACCCAAGAGACCTGAGCCAGAGCCAAACTCCAGGGGGCCCCCTGACCTGGGACATAAAAGCCAGATGCACAGGGTTTTAACTGGGGGAGCTTGCCCAGTTAGCCCAAGGCAAAGAAACCCCAGAAACCATTAGGAAAAGCCTGGGAATTGCAATGATACGAAGACTAAAATTTTCTACTTGACCCCCAACAACTTCTCAAACCAGTGTGTGAAAGACTTGACAGAGTGGCGAAAGCGAGCTTCAAGATGTGATCGAGGGCTCCTGTGTTACCAGGTAGAGACCTGGAGCCAACCAACAAGCAAAAAGGCAGATGACCAAGTAGCAATAGGGACAGAGGAGAGGAACGGAAACGCAAAGGGCTTCCACACCGGGCAAGCGACTCTATTGGAGACCGTGGGCTTCCAAGACTGCTGTTTCGCTCAGCGCTCAGTGCTCAGCTAGGTGACTAAACTACAGGCAGCCCCTGGACCTGCAGGAAGACCAACCAGGGCAGTGTGGTGGAGCCCAGCAGTCTTCGGGGTGGGTGTCCGTGCCCCACGCCGCGGGAAGGCCTGTGCAGCAACACCCAGAAGCTGGGAGGCTCCGCCTGCCAGGGAAGGAAGGCGGCAACCAGCCTTTCCAGGCTCCTTAGTGGGAACCAGTTCGGCAGGTGTTCCCAGGCACGCTGCAGCGTGGGAAGCACGTGGGAAGCACGGGGGGAGGGGCGGGGGGAGCGGCGGGGGGAGCGGCGGAGGGAGGGCGGGTTCCCGTTTGCAGGGCTTTCTCTGCGGGGCTCACCTTGACCTACCTCCCCAGGAAGTGAGAGGGCCCCAGCCGGTGCCCAACCACTGGTCGTCCTGGCGCACAACAGGAATCCCCCGTGGCAGACCACCCTGTCGAGTGACACTGGGAGACTGTCACCTTCCTGCGTCCCCATCTCCAGAAGCGTGGACACACGCCTCTGACAGGCGCCACGTCCTCCCGCGACCAGGCTGCCCGCTCCGCCCTACTGTGCACAGCACCCTGTGTGCAGGAGGAGGGGGCGTCCGTGCTTGGCAGCGAACCCGCCCAGAGACAGGCTCAGGAGCATTCGGCGAACGCGGCGGGCTGGGATAGAGAGGGGCCGCCACACGTCGGGGCCCCGGGGCCGTGAAGCTCACCACAGGCGGCGCCAGAGAGCTCGGGCCCGAGTGGGCGGGGCCCGAGGTGGGGCGGCCGTGCTACCCCGCCAGCCCCCGTGAGGTCGCCAGTTCTCCTTCCCCGTCTCCCAATCTCCCTGGGAGCGCTACGAATCCGTCCCGGACCTTCTAGAAGGCCGCGCTGACCCTCAGAACGGGGACCTGTGGGGGAACGGGACGGGCGGGCTCATCGCGGCCCATGGGCTCCCGGGCCCCGGATCCCGCGAGCAGGGAGGCTTCCCCTCGGCTCCTTCCGCAGGGACGGTCTAGGCGCCCGGGTCGTAGGGGAAGGGGGGCCTGGGAGCCGCAGGCGCGGGAACATCACCGCGCCACGCCCCTCACCCCCGCCGCCTCACGCCACTTCTGCTGCCCCACCCACCGGAAGGTCCCTCCCGGCCTCCTGCCCTACCATTCCGGCTAGCTTCACCAATAAGGAAGCTCAGTTCGAAAGGGCGTCCCGCCCCCCTGCCTGTGACGGACGGCTCTTCTGCTCAATGGAGTCCACCCCGTCGCGTTCGCGCTCCCACAGGCGGGGCTGTAGTGCGTTGGGGCTGTTTTGTGCTTGGGGCTGGAGCTGAGTGCGGCTGCGCTGCTCTCCCTTGCGCACCTAACGCTGCAGGGCCGTCTTTGGGTTCTGCGCTAGGACTTCCGAATTCTTGATTCACCGGAAGTTGCCTAGCACACCCAGGAGGCGGGTGACTCTTCCCCGCAGTTCCCCCAGCCTGGGCATCTTGCCCGACAGTGATGCAGCCTCAGAAGCCTGAGGAAGCCGCGCCGGGTATCGCTCCTGTGCGGGCGTGGGGCGCTGGGCCAGTCCAGTCGTCCATTGCCCAAGTTCCTCTCACCACTACCCCAGCCAGGACACAGCCCCCAGCCGCTGACCTTTAAAAGACCCCCTCTTCCCGCCTAGTCCGTGGCAACCAGTAATCTTGTTCCCCATGTATACAATTTCGTCCCCGGAAGAGTGTTGCGTCAACCTAACCACATGTGCAGCCTGCAACAGCTTCTGGGTGGGCTGGTGTTCGCGCAGCCTGATTCTCTGCAGAACCTTGGGAATTATTGCGTGCGCCAGGAATTCTCCCTCTTACTGCTATGCAATAGTCCACGCTGCGGTTCAAAGGGCATCCGTGCCCTTATTTCAAAGGATGTCACCCCTCATCCTTCAAGACCAGCTGGTGGTTTAAATCCCCACCAGCACTACCAGAGGATTCTCTTATCCCCAAAGCTCACTCGCTACAGGTTTGCCATTCTGCCCGTGTAAGGTACTATCCTATTGTGTTGGATTTTGCATTTTCCTGCTCCACGCTGAGCACGCTCCCTCATCCTAAATTCATCCCCCATCTGGGCTTCTGAGTCAGGGAACTAACTGCCCGTGCCCTGAGGGTGCCTGTCACATGCTGTGGCTGGGGTACTTATCTTGGCATGAAAAACCAGCCTCTACCTCAGAGCAAAGCCTGTCCAAGGAAGGGACGTGACCTTTGTCCTTGGAAAGACCCACAGAGCACTCTTAGGCACATTTCCACCCTGCTAAGTGGTTTATCTACAAATAACAGGAGAGATCTGCTGCCCCAGGTGTCCCTGACCCAGTCAGGCTAGGTGGGGACCCATAGCAACCCCCTAGCAGCCACCAATCAGCATGAGACAGGGAAATACCTGGGATGCCAGACGACCCTCCCAGTAGTTTATGGTGATCCATAATGTGTTGGGAAACTGTGTAGTTCAGCACGAACACCAATCAGTTCAAACGAATCCCCCTCTCGTAGTAATCAATCACCCCTACCCAACTTGTTCCCGCCAGTGAATGTGCTAATCATGTTTTAGAGTTGTTTGATTCCCCCCCCCCCCGTGGTGTGTGATGATTTGCTAAGAGATGCTATGATGTATGTGAAGTCCCTGCCTTCCCCAAAGAGTGTATAAAACTGCTGCAAACCCTGGGCTCAGGGCCTCTCAGCGTCACCAGTTGCTGTGTGCGTGCGGAGGACCGAGCTAGCTCACAATAAACACCTCTTTGCTGCTTACATCGATCTTGGTCTCTGGTGGTCTTTTGGGGGTCCCGAATTTGAGCATAGCAGGCACTGTCTTCTCTCATTCTGTCTCTTCTGAACAGCTCTGCTGTGTGAGGCCCATGAGAAGTCTCAGGTTTTTATGTGAACACACTTATGAAACTAGTACTTGATGATTTCTGAGTGGTCTGTCTGTCCAGGATGTCCCCCATGCTATAACACTATTTGATATTTCCTTCTGTTGTTTTCAGACCTGTGACTGATTCTGTGTTCCACTCTTTCACCATTTGGACTTCACCTCTGCCTTTCTGTGGGGCGAAAGAAGCTTTTGAGAAGACTCTCTCGGGGTTTTGCAAACACATCGTGGGGCACCCTGGTCTTTCTCCCCTGGCCTCGGGAGTGCCCTGGGCTCCAGGTGTGCAAGTTGCAGAGCAGCCTGAATCCTGAGTCATCTCCTGGAGCAGGGGCTTAGAGGAAAGCCATGGGTGGCTTCTGCCTGTGGCCGGAACAATGAAATGGCAGGGTCCGTGGTTTCCAGCAGCTGGCTTTAAGGACAATGGCTAACACAGGATCTGACTTCCTATCTTGTATAGGTCAGCCAGACAACTCTGTCCCACTATGGCACACTGCAAGTGGCCTTCCCCCATCGATCATAGGTGCCACACTCAAAGCAAATGCCCGGCCACCTGTGGATGAGCCTCTCACCTCAGCACATTTGCAGGGAGTTATTGCTCTGCATCTTCTTACGCCCCATGGAACCTGCCTGCTCCTTTAGTATGACCTCCCAGATGCTTTTGGTCATTCTTGGGGGTTTTCTTCTCCGTGTGACCTTTCCCGTCGCCTTATGTACAGCCAGGAGAGACCCGCATCCCTGGCTTCTCTGAACTGTGGCAGTGAGGTGAGAAGGTGCTGGTCCTGAGCATTGCCTTGTTCCAGAAGACCCTGGGTGTCATCTGGGCTGGAGGAATGGACTTTTCCTGCTGGCCAAGGCCAGGCAGTATCGGGGGGCAGCAAGCAGTTCCCTAGTGCCCTTCCTGGGGGCATGAAGCACTGTTATTTAGTCTCTTACTTCTGGGAGGCTCTTTCTCTTGCTGAGGTAGCATGACCCTCATGGTGGTCATGATGCCTATGAGCTCGATGGTGTGGGACGATTCCTCTATGTGTACTAGACTATGTGTAGTAAAGAAAGGATGAGGAGCTGGGGTTGTGGCTCAGTGGTGGAGCGCTTGCCTAGCATGTGGGAGGCACTGGGTTTGATCCTCAGCACCACATAAAATAAAGAAATAAAATAAAGGTCCAAATAAAATAACACCAACTTAAAAAAAAAAAAAGAAAGAAAGGATGAGATTGGGTTCCTCTTTTTTTTTTTTTTTTTTCTGTATTGGAGATTGAACCCAGGGGCACTTTACCACTGAACTACATCCCCAGCCCTTTTTTAAATTTTCCTTATTTTGAGGCCGGGTCTCAGTAAAATGTTGAGGCTGTCCTTGAACTTGTGAGCCTCTTGCCTCACCCTCCCCTGTTGCTAGGATTACAGGCATGTGCCAGTATCCCCAGCTTGGGTTTCCTTAACTGTCAGCTCCAGTCACAGTAAGAGGACCAGGGGCCTCTCTGAACAGCCCTCAAAATCCTATTCCTAGGGGCTGGGATTGTAGCTCAGTGGTAGAGCTCTCGCCTAGCATGCGTGAGTCACTGGGTTGGATCATCAGCACTGTATAAAAATAAAAAAAAATAAAGGTATCGTGTCCACCTACAACTATATATATATATATATATATATATATATATATATATATAATATATAATGTATATAATATAAATATATAAATATTTAATATATATATATATATATATATATTAATCCTTTTTTTCCTTGTTCTTGTAGGACTGACAACTCCAACAATCAAACCCAAAGGTTAAGTATTTGGTGTTCAGAAGGCAATATTTTGAATTTCCAGCCTGGCCACCTTTCTCCTGTGAAAATGTAGGCTGTTGTTGGGCAGAAGTCCCTTTGAACCTCACTTACCAATGAAAGTCACTTGACTTCCTGAGTTGAGGGACTGGTGTTCTTTTCCTGGAAAGGTGTGTGACAGCTCTTCCTGGGCAAGAGCCTTTCAAGGGCTCATTCCTTACTTTTGAGACCTTGTACAACTACCATTTGTTGCCATTAGACCTACTCCTGTGGTCTGACTTGACTGCTTGTTTTCCTCATCCAGATAGGGAATCAAGTATGGGGTCATTTCATGTTTCCTGAATCCCAGAGCTGCAACTTTTCTCATCCCAATCTGAGTCTGTATGAGAAATGTATCACCATGACCTGGCAGGTGGAAGCTCCTATGATTTCCCATGGTAAGTCAGAGCATCCCTGGGTGCTGTTTGTGGTGCACGAACTGTGGTGGTAGAACTCAACTCTGAGGTCTTGTTTTGGAGATCTGACTGAAAGGGAACTTGCTTTTCTCGCCCTTTTGGAGTCCAGACAGGTCCCATGTGCCCCATATGTACTTCTTATTTTTTGGTACCGAGGATTGAATTCAGGGGCTCCTAAACACCGAGTCACACCCCCGCCCCCGCATTTTTTATATTTTATTAAAGACAGGCTCTCACTAAGTTGCTTGGCGCCTCGCTAAATTGATGCGGCTGTCTTTTAACTCGCGATCCTCCCGTCTCAGCCTCCTGGGCCTCTGGGATTACAGGCTTGCGTCATTGCGCCTGGCCCTTGTATATTTCCGTAACCTTCTGCATCCCAGTTTTCCCTTTGCTCTAGCCGTCCCTCCATCCTTCGCCACTGCTCAAACCCCACGGTTAGGTGCACTGAGAGATACGGGGTGAGAGAGGTTCCTGCCCAGCCCGGCAAATCAGTGTGAAATCTGGGGTCTGTCAGTGTGTGTCCCTGGTGGTGCGAGTGACGTTGATTGGTTGTGGCTGAGTGAGTGACGGGACAAAAGCCAATGACGTACATGGATCGGCTGGGTT